TCCATAGGATGCTCTGCAGTGTCTTCTACTCAAGCCCAGTCCCCCGCTCCCGGGAGGTCACCATAACCCAGGCTTGCAAACAAGAGGACGGAGTCCTGAATCGCCCTCAGGCACGTGGCTTAGCTCATTATATCTTCCTCTGATGTGTATTCACTTTTAACTTTCTGCCTGATTCTTTGGCTTTAAAAATTCATATGTCTTAAGTCAGCACAGCATGACTAGGTGAATCAAGATTTTAAAAAAATGATCCCACTAACGGATTTTTCTGAATCTGTATATTGGCTTCCACGCTTCCTTTCTTGTTAGGGGAGTAACTAGAACCTTTCTTCAGAGGGGTTATTGATTTCTAAACATTGAAAAAACTGGGTGGAAGTCAATACAAGGACTATCAAACATGAAAACCTTCTCTCTCCTTTGCTACTAACTAGGAACCACCGTCTCTGTTAACCAACCTTCCACCCCGTTCTGGGCGGGCGGCGCTGTAGCTGCGGTGCTGGTAGTTCTCAATTGTAACTCGGATGCTTCCTCTGGAGGCTCGTCCTTGGTCAGGCCTCTTGGTGGTACGCTTAGTGCCCATGAGTTCTCTGAACGGTACCGGTGAGATCCAGTTCATGTTTTCTGGGATTTGGGATGCTTATCTACTTCCTACAGCTTGAGGATGAAAAGACAATCCAAATTAGTCATTCTCGGACTTTGGGGCATTGCATTTTTCGGCAGACTGGAACCTTTTTGGTGGCTGGCTTGGGGCTTCGGAGGCTTAACAGTGACCACCTTACTGCCACCTGACCCCCCAGAGACCAGGGACCCAGCCCCAGCCTCGCTTCAGTCCTGGTTTTCCTCTGCACACACACCTGAGCCGTGAGCCCCACCCCTTTTCTCCACCCTTTTCCCACTCAGCTGCCTCTGCTGCTGGCTACAGGCTGGAATGTCCCCCTCCCGCATCCCACGCTTGTCCTGCCCCCTCCCAGTCCCTCTGTGGACATCCACTTTGCCCTGCCTGCCCTTAATGCTTAGTCTGGGCCTCTCTGAGGTCACTTAACACCGTAACGGCAATGCACATGGGTCCCTTGTTCCCCTACTAGATTGCGTGTTTCCTGAAAACAACTCCACCTGATCTTTGTGTCCACAGCTTCCTGAACATGGTGGGGGCTAAGGACAGGTTTGTGAGAGGAAGGTAAACAACTTAGTATCAGCACAGTCAATTTGATCTTTACAATCAAAGGATCTTTACAAAGGCATCGCTGGTATGAGGGATATTGTGGTGGGGGTGACACCCCAGAAGCAGCAGAGGTGCTTGAGCACCAGCAGTGGAAGAGGCCATTTTGATAGCACCAGTGGTTTCCGCTGGTTCACATCTCTTTAAGCTTGACAAGAAACTTCTAAATGTCAGAGAACCCTTTAGAAACCAACCTGGGCTTGACATTGTAGATAAGAATCAAAAGGTGTATGATTTGGGGATATATGTGTATTTGGTTGTATCATTAGGAACCAAATATATGCATTTTTTTTCATTGAAGATACAGAGATTTTAATAGTACCTTTTAAGTCAATAGGCGCCTCATTCAGTGGTAGCGTCTATTTTTTCATCTTTACCATTGAACTGAAACAGACAACTCAATTAGCTCAGTGACATATTTGATCATTGTTTGCTTTCTGCAAAAATTTAACAGATAGGTAAATCTATAAGCTTGGAGCAAAACCCTATTAAACTTGCCTCCTTAGAAAACAGTTATGAAGATTTGGGAGGTCCCGACCATAATTCCGGTAGCTGGTGAGACATTGGAAATTCATCTTCTGTGTGAATACAGAACGGTTGCCATTTCAGGAGGCGCTGACCTTGCATTCGCCTCTCTAACATGCCCTGGTTCCCTCCAGCAGCTGGATGTAGAAACTGGAGGCAGAGTCCTCTTATCCGATCATCCTTTCTGTTAACTGAATGAGGTCAAGTCCAGTGTCATCAGACACGCACCTGAGGGTGCTGATGTGATCACCAGGAAGAATCTGGCCACGGCCACAGCTGTGATTGAGACTCTTACACGGAAGTCGCAAATCACAGGATCCTAAAATTTTGGGTTAGAAATACTATTGGGTTGTAGGAAAAGTCATGACGCATTTTTGCAACGAAAAACATAGAAAAAATACGGTGTGACTTTTCTGACAACCCAATAGTTACCATTGGAACACGTAAGCACTACAGTAGGGATTCTCTAAGTAACCATGGTAAGGCAGGAGCTATCATTGGTGGAGCACTCTCTCTGAGCCCTGTAAAACATACATAAAACATATGTTTTACATACAAGATGTAATATCGCCCTGCCAGCTCTGCAGAGTGGATGTCGACAGTTCCCCATTTAAGAGGGAGGAAGCACAGGCTTTGAGCTGGTAAGACTTGCTGAGTGTCACTGGGCTGGTCCATGGAGAGCCAGATCAGCCTGACGCGAAGAGCCCTGCTGTGTCTCGCCAGACTCCTCGTGTGAGCCCCCCTTCATCACCTGTAGAGGGTGTTGAGCTGATTGGTGCGTCCCTTCCCGGGTCCACAAGAGCTGCAGGTTGTCTTAATGTTTTGAAAAACCTGAGTGGAACTAGTTTAGCAAGGTGCCCAGCTAATTAAAATTGCATGTTTGGGTTGTAATTACATCAACTCACTGTGGTGACACTGATAATCTCCCACTGATTAAAAACTCAGATGGGCAATTAGAAGTGTTTTTCTTTGAGTGCATGCTTAGTCGATGCCCTTTGCTGGCAGTCTTTTGAAACGTGCCGTAGGAGAAGACCTAGTTCACATGGTCTCGAGGGATGAAAAGATGAGGAACCGCTGGGCGACCCAGCTTCCGAGACCTGTCCTAGCTCTGGTCCAAGAGACCCTGAGAGCAGTTGTTGTAGGTTCATAAATCTGGGTGTCCTTTGATGGTCATCCAGTTCCCCTGTCCCTCTTTACACACAGCTGCGTCAGCCCCTCCCTCCCGCCTCCAACAGAGGTGGGCACCATTGCTGTCACACTGCAGACATTTATAAGAGTGACAGCATGTTTTTAGAAAAGTTGGAATCCTGGTCTTTGTCCCCTTCCAAAGGGCTCTTCTCCCCTAATCACTTGTGTTAAAATTTCCAGAAATACTCACAACGAGCCATAACACATCTGGTCCCAACCTGTTACATTTATATAACTTGTCACAGGGCTTTTATCTTACAGCATTTTATTTTATCCTGTAACATGTGGGCACTTTGAGCTCCACTATATAGACAAGCCAGTCGGCGTGGAGCAGTCGGGGAGCTGGCTCCCTGATCCTGAGAATGATGACCTGGACCCAGTGACTTCCTTCCCTTGGAAGGGCTCTGCCTAGGGATCTTTCTAGCCCCCCCAGCAAAGCTCTAGCAATTCAGAGTCAGGTGAAAACAGCAGTCAAGCCCTCTCGCTGTGCGTTGCCCCAGTATGAAATAATTACCCAAAGCAGCCCTGGGATGTGATAGGACCCATTAAAAATAACGCTGGGCCTCTTCAGCTTACAGCAGCACACGCTTTAGCGAGCAGCCTCTTCTCTTAGATGTGAAGACATTGTGTCACTGGATGGAACTGGCGTTACTCTTCCTGGCCTGCCAGCCGCATATGGCGTGGTGTAAAGTGGGGCTAAAAGTGGCCATGCCCCCCTCCCCCACAAGCCCACCCTTTGAGGCCTAGCATTTAAAGCAGAGGAGTAGATTTTGGAAACCGCATTCAGTAAAATGTTCTTTTCAAAATACCGGGCATCACCCTGATGACAAAAAGAAGCATTTGTTTTTCTTCACATCCTGTCCAGGTCACTTTGTAAATTATAAATGATTAGAAGAGTCGGGTCATGTTCAGAGTCACCTCCAAGAGTCCCTCATTAGAATTGATGTTCCTGTGTAGAGGCTGGGTCTTCTGTGAACACGCGTATTGCAGATGCAGACATTGCCCTGGGGAGTCAGAGGACCCCCCCCACTATTGTTTTCTCATATGCTGCCACCGAAGGGAGGGATGGGGGACACTGGGCATTGAGAAGGGAAACGCTCTTGGCAGGTAGGAAAGAAGGCAGATAAGTGAGCTCGGTGACCTGAGACTCACCCAGATCAGCTGCCAGGAAAAGAGCTAAGATTCTGGGTGGAACGCTTCACTGGCAAGCTGGTAACCAAAACCAGGCTCGGACCCAAGGACACACGTCCCAGGAAATCTCAGTGGTGGCCCTGAACTTGTTTGGTGCATCCTGGGTGCTCTGTGCCATTCATGAGGTGTGCTGGTGGGAGGGAGTCTTAAATAATTTAGGGTTAAATCATACCTTGGCAATAATAATGCTCCCTTGGAGAAGGAGGCAGCTGATGTATTATTATCTTCTCAACTTAAACAGCTGTTAATAGGACAACAAAACGACAGTCCTGGGGTGCTACACCTGGAAAGTGATAAATCAGGAACAGGCCCTAGGAATCACCTTGTCCTTCTCTGTCCCCGCCTACTTCCCATTTTTAAGGTGAGGAGCACAGAAGTCTGTGTAAAGGAATGCTCCTGGGTCTTGGGCTGGGGCTGGCCCTGGGAACAGGTTCACATTACAGCTCCAGACGCTGAGCTGCAGCCCGGCCGCATGTGGTTTGGCTCCTGTCTCAGTGCCTCCCAAGTGACGCACAAGCCAGGGCACCAGCCTTCAGGATGCAGGAGGTCTTTCTGGCCATTAATCCCCAAAACCGCCTTCATGCCTGGTGAGCAGGCTGAGCCTCCTGGACGGATGTGTTTGCAACATCAGGGCGATTCAGAGACTCCTGCGAACTTGTCCATGGGCTCAAGTTGCTGGGGTTTATTTGGCCACAACCACGCAACTACCCACACTTGCCGGCTTTGAGAAAGCCTTCCACGGAATGTCTCATTTTAAAGCTCGTATTAATGAATCATTTTTTAAAGTGATAGCGTCAGCAACATGTAGAAATAGAGGCACTTTGAACCAGAACTGCTATTTGTATTTATTTTTATGTAAGAAAAAAAAATTAAGGCTTTAGGGATGGCCACTGTCTTTCTTGCCAGCTGGTTTTTGAGCAGGTCACATGTCACCTCTTGGTTTCTTTTTAAGTAGAAAAGAGCAATCCGGGAGCTGCAGGATGTAGCTTCTATGATTAGAGCCCTTTCTGGTCTTGTTCACTACCGCATGCACTGCCCAGCACAGTTTGAAGCACATAGTAGGTGCTCAGAATCCATTCACTGGGCGGGAAATTCAGTGAGTGGCAGAGCCGGAAGTGCCCAAGTACCTAAGGCAGAGGGTGGGTTTGTAGTCTCTAGTGGAGCACCTGGAGTTTTCTTTGCTGCCCAAAGTCCCATTCAGTTTGAAATATGTCATTTCTATACCCAGCTGGACTTGATTAGTCTTTGCATCTGAAAATTTGATTTGGACCAGCCCTGAAGGCACTGGCAGCATTTGGGGAGATGGTCCAGGTGACTTGCAAAGCTTCTCTTAACAAGCAACACTGAAGGAATAATGTCTGTTCTTCTCTTGCTCCAGGGTGTGGCGGAGCTAAATCCTCAGAGAGGGACAGGACAGCTGGGTCTAGTTCCAGAATGTCACTGGGATGTGGGGAGATGCCACATGTTGCGCATGAGACCTACAGAGAAAACTAGCACCCAAAGTGTAGATGTGCTCTGAACTGAAAATGAAAACTTGCTGCAAAATGCTCAGATCTGTCCCCCAACGAAACCTGTGCTTGGTCATGACATTTAATTCCTTGGGACTCTCTCAGACTCCCAAATGGCAGAAGCCCCTTTACAGCAAGAGGTTTTACCAGTTGTCTGAAGGTAGCTGAGTTGAGCCTCCCCTTTCAGACTATATCGGAATCTCTAGCGTGTGGACATTTTCAAAAAGCGTAATCTTGTTCCTGGCCCCACCCTGCCCGGCCCAAATCTTTCTGTTTTTCTCTGGTACTAACACCTCTCCTTTTGTTTCTTTTGCAGAGTTGGATTACAGAAACTCCTATGAAATTGAATATATGGAGAAAATTGGCTCCTCCTTACCTGTGAGTCCTTTTCCCTCCCGCTAGTCCGGGGATTTGCTTTTCCACGCTGTCCTTTGTCATGAAAACACAGCACAGGCTTCCTCCCGAGAGCAAAGCATCCCTGGGAACTCAGACCTCTAGTCAAGGCCCTCTGTGCCGGCAGCATCGTGGGTGCACAGTGAGGGTGAACTGGGCCTGGGGGGCGGGGAGGTCTGAGGTTTGTACTCCAACCACTTCCGGTGGCGTTTTCAGGGAGAACACAATAGAATGCAGTTAGGTTTCCTGCAGAATTACTCCTAGATGGAGAAAGAACTAGTCAGAGATTTCTTTTTAAAAGGTGGGGGGAGTGGTGTGGTTGTTTTTAAGGCGGACTGTTTTCTGTCGTCTTCAGATGAACTGCTTTATGTAACTGAAGATTGTCTGTGCCGTGAGCTTCCTCCCGCCCTTGCATTTTAAGTGGTGATGACGGGCAGCTGTCTGCCCGGCTTAGTACCTGCTGCCGCAGGGCTTTTGGTTCCGAGCATGACCTTGGCGCTGTGCTCCTGCCCTTAGAGGCATGGAGGCGCCAGGAGGGCTTGCCGCGACACTGACTGGCCCACACATGCCACTCGTATTATGCTGGGTCATCGTGCTGGCCTTCTCCCATTTGACTGTGAGCGATGCCCAGACTGGGCTCTCGCCGCCCGCCTGTTTATCCTCGGTGGCTGGCATGGCTGCCCACCCAGAGAAGGAGGCCCACGACGCCGGTGGGATCCTTCTCCCCTCACTCCTGACTGCATACCGTCGCACTTTCTCTCTGCCTCTCGCCTTCCCTCCCATCCTTCCTTCTCTATTCTGGGTACCTCGAGAAAAATGAAAGCCTTTTCTGAGGAGCTATTTGTACCTATTGAAAGTGCTCAGGTTGTCATCTCTGTAGCATGTTCAGATCAGCTGTAGCCGAGTTGACGTGTGACTTTGATCCTTGCAGCAGGACGATGACGCCCCGAAGAAACAGGCCTTGTACCTTATGTTCGACACTTCTCAGGAGAGCCCGGTCAAGTCTCCCCCCATCCGGATGTCGGAGTCCCCGACACCATGTTCAGGGTACGACTTCCATAGGAGAGGGTTACGGATCAGGCCAGAGGTCCCCAAGCCTCTGAGCACCTGGCACTGCTGTCCTGACGTCATTTCATTTGCGTATATTCAGGCAGCTCACGTTTTTGTCTCTGAAGTAACCACACAGACATAACTGCAGTGGGTGTGTTATGGGCTGCCCTTAGGACTGAGGCAAAACCCTTGAACAGCTGAATGTGTGAGCCCTCCCCACCACCCCCAATGCACACACAAACGTATTTTGTAATTTATCCCGTGGGAGGAAGCATGCCACAGCAGAGAGCCTGCGTCCCACCCCCAACCCTTACTGGTTATGTGACGTGGCACATCACTTGTCCCCCCTGGGCTGCAGTTTCCTTGTGTGTAAACTGAGAGTAATAATAAAACTGACCCCATAGGGATTTGATGAAGATAAAATGAGGCTGTCAGCCTTGCAGGCATCTGCCAGCTGTGCAATGGGGCTGGGGTACCTGTCCTCCAAAGCCGTCGGGAGGATTATACTGAGATCCTATAAGAAAAGCCCTTGTCACGGGGCCTGGCATACGTGAAGTGCCCGATAAACGTTTATTATTAATATCGGTGTGAATCGGTGTGAGTATTAGCGTTCATCAGTTATGTACTGAGCTGTGTGCTGCTGGATCGGGTAAGGGTGGGCATTGTGCTAAGATGACGACCTTCCCGTCCCCTCCTACCTGTCCCTTTCACTGGGCACAAGTGAAAGCTCTTGTGTTAAGTGCTTGACAAGTTGGCAGCATCTCCTTGATCGTCACAGAGAGGTACGTTGTCTCCATGGTGCAGAGACGGAGACTGAGACACAGTATCCATCCCTTCCACCAGGGTGCACAGCCAAGCAACGGGCAGTCTGCTCAACTCCACAGCTCATGCCACTGAGCTGGTGGCATCTGTGCTTCTGACCCTCCCTTGTCAGCAGGCCCTGGGGTGGGGCTGACCACCCCCTCCCTCAGGCTGCCCAGCCTGCAGGCCCCAAGGTCACCCAAGATCTACCCCATTTTTCTCTGGGAACATAGCCCTGGAAACCCAGGATCCTCTGGGATGTTGGCTGAGTTGGGGCATCCTGGCCAGTTCCAGTGAGAAGACTGAAGGTACCCTTTCCTTCCTCAGGTCAAGTTTTGAGGAGACTGAAGCCCTTGTGAACGCTGGGGCGAAGATCCAGCATCCCGTCCCACGAGGACTGGCCCCCAACCAAGAGCCGCACTTGCAGGTGCCAGAGAAATCCTCTCAGAAAGAGCTGGAGGCCATGGCTTTGGGCACCGCTTCAGATGCGATTGAAATTGTAAGTGGGGTCGGAGGGGCCGAGGCCTCTGGCCTGCTGGGTCCCTTCATCAAGGGTGCCAGGCCCTCAGAGCAACATTCACCTAGCACCTGGCATGGGACCCCACCCCATCTCTGCACCACAGAAGCCAGCCTAGGAGACCCCACCCCCACCACCACCACCACCTTAATGATGAGAGAAAGGCCCTCTGTTCTCAACAGTGTGGTTGTGGAATTCTCACCTCGGTGCTTTATTTGCCTGCAGGGTTATTTATTTTCCACTTTAGCCCCTTAGGGCTGGACAGTTGGCTTTGGAGCTGTCATCCGTCTGTACCCTGCTTCTCCGTCCTTGAAGGCAGAGAATGACAGAGCTGGGGATACCCCTTTTGGGGAACAGTTGGTTTTCCTGGACCCCGGTGACGGGAAATCCCTCTTCTTCATAGTCCAGGACTTACAGCTCTCCTCTCAGAGCAAGTAGACCTGAGTCAAAGACCTCACCCACCCACCCCAATCTCTTGCACAGTTAAAATGAACCATCCTTTTAGGTGAATTTTATTTTTATTTCTTTTACCTCCTAGCCCAAGGGGGCTTGAGGCAGATTTATTAGTGTGTCTCTTTGTTGTTCCATATTAATCAACCATTTATCTCATGCATCAAATATTTATTGAGCACCTACTATGTATCTGGCAGCTGGAGACAGGAAAAATAATAGTGAACAAAAAGAGAGTCTAGACACGACTCCCATCTCTCAAATAGATACTATAAAGGACCCATACCTGGTTCGCTTTCTACAAAGTTGGCTTCTGATTTTGAAGCTTTCTGATCTATCAGGAGACACTTTTTCGTTTGAAATCATCTTTCCGTTATTTAGAAAATAACCTTTACTATAAAGCCTTCCTTTCTTTGATATTTATACTTGGAGTTATTTTCTCAAGGTATATTTGGAAAACCCATCAACTAGCTTGCCTCCCACCCACTGAGATTTTCAAATAAACAAGTAAATTGTAACTTTCCTCCCCGCGACTGGTTAGGGAGTGGGGGTGGGATAGGGGGTGGGGAGGGCACCTAAAGCTGTGCTTTTGGGGAAGGGGGTTGGGCCTACCACTCTCAAGATGTCCACTGTCAGCACGTGGGAATCTGCCCACGGGAAAAGGACAGTATTGGCCCCTGATTGATACTCTCTTTAGCCTTAAGGCGGAAATGTCCAGCAAACACATGCGTGGTCCTTGTTCAGAAACGTTGTCACTCTGCTCTGCTCTATTTTTCCTCTGTGTCCCCCTCTGCCGGCCTTCAGACAGCTCCTGAGGGCTCCTTTGCCTCTGCTGACGCCCTCCTCAGCAGGCTGGCTCATCCAGCCTCCCTCTGTGGTGCGCTTGACTATCTGGAACCCGACTTAGCAGAAAAGAACCCCCCCGTATTTGCCCAGAAACTTCAGGTTTGTAGCCCACATGTGACCTTTGGGAAGTGTGTCAAAACCTCAGTAGAGAATGAACCCCGAATGCAGTGAGGCAGAATTTCATGAGGAATTGTGGAGAGTGTTCCAAACGAAATAACATCCCCTCGAAGACTGATCTATGTGGCGTTCTTTACCCAAGACGCTGAAATGATATAAGTCGTGTGATTGCAAATGGAGCGAACCATTTGTATTTCCATTTGGCAATGGGGCCCAGTCATTTTTCAGAAGTTTCGATAGCCCCAAAAGCATTTTCTCTGATTTATTCATGGAACCAAGGGTATTAGATCACCATCGAGCCAAGCTATTTATGTATCCGAGGCTCTCTCAGACACCCGTTGAGATAACATCTGGACTGGGTCTTACATCTGGAACCAAAACAATTACTTACTCTGCTTTAAATTTGACAGCTTAATTTGATATCCTCTAGACTAGGATATTCAGAGCAAACCTGGAGAGATGGTTAACTGTCGTTGGGGAGATGCAAATCCATTCATGGAAATTGCTAGCCAACTTTATATTCAACAAACAAAACGGAAGAAATCAAAAGGAACAGCACCTTAAAATTTTTTATTTCCTTTTAAAAATCATTTCGTATTCAAATGCATTAATACTTCCTGACAGACATTGCAAAGGGCAATTGGGGGGGGGGGGGAGAAGGGAAAGGAAATTAAACACGTATTTCATGATCTGCTGAGGTGTTAATTGTGCAAGAAAGCCAGAGCGTGTGTTTTCTCTGAGTACCTGTCATGACACATTCCCGTGGCCCTTTCATTTCTTGGATGTGGAACCGTTTATGTCCTGTCTTGACGCATTTGCCCTGTGGCCGGTCACACCCCCCCCTCTGGCAGGAGGAGTTAGAGTTTGCCATCATGCGGATAGAAGCCCTGAAGCTGGCAAGGCAGATTGCCCTGGCTTCCTGCAGCCGCCAGGACACCAAGGTACTGGTTTGCTGCTGCCGTAACGCCTCTCGAGAATGCTGTGTGATCCGCGAGCTTTGCTAACCGTTGGCCAAGCAGGCAGCGTCGGTGCTCGGCAAAGTATAATTTTCCAAAGAGCTAAAAGCAGTCCTTTTGCATAAAACACACACTGAGCACATGTCTAAGATCTATTTAACTCAATAATGAGCAAGGGAACTAACAGGCTGGGGAAGGTGGTTGAATGGAAGAAACTAGGAGAACCCGACGGATAGCCGGTGGCGTACAGAAGGCTGGAGTATGATTGCAAAGTTAGAGGTCAAACTGGTTAGTTCCAGTTAAGCAGGACGAACAGATCATCACTTTTGAGGTTGTTTACTTTTTGCTAAAATTTGCTTCTCTACTTAACAAAAATAATTTGCCACTTCTGTGTTTTCTACAACTTACTATCTAACTGTGCTGAGACTGGACCCTAATCAACAGTAAATAGTAAGTGAAACCATATCTGCCTCAGGTGGCATAGATGACCCTTACGCCAGGGTCAAAAGGATTACAGAAAAGCAATCCTTTTCTGTAAAGGGCAGATAATAAATATTTTAGGCTTTGTGGGCCATCTGGTCTCCGTAACAGCTATTCGGCTCTGCCACCTTAGCCCGAAAGCAGCCGGACAATACACTGACGAGTGTTCCAGTAAAGCCCTTTGTACGGAAAAGGGCAGCAGGTCGTCTGGCTTGCGCACCACCATTCACCAACCCCTGCTCTGGAGTATGGTATTAATGGGGCACGTGGAAATCTTTGTGCCTGGCTTCCAAGTTTGGGGTGTTTTTTCCTAACTATTTGAATGACTTGCCGATGACATGTTAGATTCGTGTGGCTCTGAGACCCTGTGAGGTTCAGCCCACCCCTCAGGGTTGACGGATGGGTAAGCCGGGTTTCTGAGGAGATGCTTCACTACCACCCCCACACCCCACCCCACGTTGGGCCGCCCAGGGAACCGAGTGTGTCAGACCAATGCTGGACCCCATTGTGCTCTGTGGCCTTGAATGAATCGGTGAACCTCTCTGAGCCTCAGTTTATCCATCTGTCAGATGAGACTCACAATGGCAAGTTTGCAGGTGGTTGTGAGGACTGCAGATGACTTGTGGAAAGCAGTGCCATGCCTGCCACACAGTAGGTGTGCAATAAATGAAAGCTGCTGCGGTCAGCTAGCCTTCATCTCCGCTTTTACCTGATCAGATGCTCACAGCATCTCTCCTCAGTAAACGGGTCCAGGTGCCACATTACAGATGGGGAAACAGTGTGAGAAAACCAGCCCAAGGCCTGACAGTAATCCCCTGGCCTGGCGGGAACTAGAGCTCAAATCTCCAAGTGGAGCCCCTTGCTCGTCCATCTCAAGTAACAGCTCTTGGCAGAGGTGTAAGTGGTTCTTCTAGATCTTGGTCTTGGTACATGATCAGGAGTTCGTCTTCTGCTCCTGCCCAGAGGGCCCCGGGGGAAGGGGGGGCGGGTCAGAGAAGCTCTCAGTAAAAGAAGATGGTCACACTGGGTGTCCCGACTGGGCACCTTGGGACCCAGGGCAAGGACAAGAATGTAAACAGCGATTGCTGATGTCCTTGTTCTTGTTGCCAACCCATAAACTTGGGTTTAATTTTCATGAAAATGAGATCTTTAGAAAGCGTTAAGCAGTGAGGATTTTTTTCCTCATTAGATTTCTTTTTTGATGTCCTTGGGTAGTGGCTTAAAGGCAGAATGAATTGCTTGAAGTTCGGCCACTAAAAATACAGTCGATTCTTGTTCAGAAATTGGAGGCAGCATTGAGCCTGGTCTAATAAGTTGTTCAGACTGAGTAGAGCGTTCTGGGATGCCTGGTACCCCTGTCTCTCCTCTCAGAGCTCATCAGTGGTCAGCAAATAGTGGCTGACAGCTGACTTCCTGTCTCTTACGGCCTGTTCTCAGACCATGTGCCTGATTTTGATTTACAGTAGAAAGCATTGTCACGTGCATGTACTGAGTGGGTCGGAGAGAACTCCAGCTACCTCATGTATTTCAGAAGGACGTACTAAACGAAACATTTCATGGGGGTGGGATGTCTTCGAGTGTAAGGGACATTGCTCCCTGCCATAGCAACTTGTACCGCTTTTCTGAGAAACATGTGATCCTAGTGACCTTGGCCCTAAGAAAAGAGAGCTCTTTCCTATAGTTCATTCGCCCAAGGGCGATCCCTTTACCTTAGCCCACTTCAGTTCCTGTGGGTTTTTTTGTTCACGTAGACACTGGATGGCCCCGCTGGGAACTGCTGGTGTATAGGAAGAGAAAACAGCAGCTGTGGATCCAATTTGCTCTTTTCTTTGCCCGTATATTTCAGCCACAGATGACCTAGCCCATGCTTTTTGGCAGTATGGTCTTAAACTGTTGCTAACACAAAAGTGTGGAATGAAAAAAGTCATATTGAATGGATAAAAAGCAGCATGAAGTATGGTGGGGTGATTTTTGGTTGTGCTTTTGAGCAGCTTCAACTTATATTTCCCTTCAGACGGAGAGCCAGCCCAGCCAGGGGCTGCAGTGGGGTTTCCTGTCTCCGTTAGAAAACGTGAGAAATTAGGAGAGTTCCTTCGGGTCGGTGGAGGCAGGGAGGGGGTGTCTATCTGTAGCTCCTTAATGCTTTCCGTCCTCACACTTCTGGCCAAGCGGAATGCAGTGGTATTCTTTGGGGATAAATCTGACCCTGGTCGCCGACTGTATGGCCCCAAATTTGATGCTAAACCAGGAGGAATAAAACCTAAACATCCCATTTGTGTGGTTTTCCAAACAGTGCAGGACGCACAGGGATGATTTAATGTATGTATATAACAGACTGGGTGTGACCCCTAAAGCTTTTAGCCCCTTTGGATGATGGGGACCCAATATACAGAATGAAGGACGTGTCTGTAACTTAGGAACAAGGGACATGCAAATGGCAAGCTTCCGGACCGGACCGGAGAAAGTCCTAGAAACAGGCACCATTGCGAGGGAGTGTTAGTGCTCAGTGTGGGATTTCCTCCAGGATGCCTGGATTTTACATCAGCGGGAGAAGGAGTTAGGTCTGGGGCGACCTGTCTTGTTGATGAGCAGCCTGACATCATAGGCTCCTTGTCTCGAGTTGTATCTGGAACGGTTATCTACACGATGCCTGAAAGCCACGAGAACAGTCTGAAGAGCAGTGACAAAGGACTGGCACATGGCTTTCTACTTATTTGCCAGTTTTGAGAGTGTGTGGCCATCACCTGCAGCCTGTGTGGAGAAGGACCGAGGCCATGTCTTGACTCGGGGAGGAGTGAGGGAGAAGTGGCCAGTGGTGTCCCCTGAGGGAGCGCCTTCCCCGGGTTTGCCATCCTGAGCTTGAGAACTGCCCATTGTCATTTTTGGATCAAGCCGCTCTCCTGCCCAGCCTGGTGCCATGTGGCCTGGACACCTCCCAAGCGCCCAACCTGTGTCCACGCTCCATGACCTTGGCTCAGCTTGCCGTGTTCTCCCCACCTGATCACCCCTGGTCCCCACTCTTGTGCACTCCTCTCACACCGCTGTTCCCAGCCCTGGCCGGCTCCTGGGGACAGAGATCCTGCCTTGGTCCCACAAGTGGCAGCTTCCGCGATGCTTGATAGCAGGGAATTGGCCACAAGGTGACTGAGCCCTGGTGAGTGACAGGGCCTCCAGCCTCTGGCTACAAGGCCAGAAGACCCCAGGCCTGAGGTCTGCAGATCTGACCCCCACAGAACAGCGCCCCAGGGGTTCTCAATGGGACCAAGATTTGAGGGTGTGGAATGAGGCGATGGAAGTTGGTTCCAAAGGCCCTTGTTCTCTGAGTGGTGGCTATTTCACAGGCTAATTTGTGATTCTAGTGGCTTTTGGACTCCTCTAAAGTTGCAAGTGGAGGGTTATGTGAGAGAAACAAAGCTTAATCTAAATCTTCATCTTAAAATATCAACAAGAGACAAACTGTATTAATTTCAATTAAAAACAGTTCTTGGTTGTAAGAGAAAACCAGGGTGTGTACCTTGAATTTCATTAACATGCAGATACTCGGGTAGTAATTCAAATGGGATTCTGAAGTCATCTGTTCTTTTATTGAAAACACCAGGTGGCCAGGATGAAAAGTGACACTGAATCACTGTATAGGGTAGTAACCTTGGGCGTTTACTTAGAAGGCTCATTATTTTATTCATTTCTCATTCCCTTCCTTGTTTTACAAAGGACTTTAAGCAGCTTAAAGATTATTAATTCCCCGCACTGGTCATATTTAGTTTCTGCCCAGTATGATAAAGTGAGTTTTAATTCGTTTTTTCTTGCACTTCAGAGAGCTGGCTTATTTTGGGTCAGAATTGAATCTCAGCCCAGGAAACCATGGCCATGTCTCTCAGAGCCTCGATTTTTTTCATCTTCAGAAGGACCAGGAGGAGTTAGATGGTATCTAATATTCTTTCCATTTTGAAATTCTAAGGTTTTTTTCCCCGAAGAATACATGATTTTACTTAAAAAGTGATAGGAACCGTTTTCTTTTTAATCCTCTTCAGACTTCTGTGTATATGATCTAGACCCACAAATACAGATACTGAGTCTTGATGTCTAGGTCTAATTTTCCATTTACTCCTTGAGACGTTTCCCATATGACAAGTAGAACCATGAAAACGTTTCAGACTGCGGAGCTTAACCCATAATGGAAGAAGCTCTGTGTGGTCTGGTGGCATCTTTCTTCTGAGAGGTCAGCCTGCTTGCTCCTGAGGGCTGTTAACTTATGTTCAAACGCCCTGGAACAGAGGCCTCATTAGGACCTGAGGCCAAAAAACCAGGACGTCCGGTTTGACATGTGAGCGTGTCTCTAAGCTCTGGTCGACCAACGACCGCGCGCGCTCCCCTCTCTGACCAGCAGTTGTCATTCGGGTCCCCCGTCAGAGTTGGCCCACATACTCCAAGCCGGGCAGGGACCGTGAAACCCAAGCAACAGAAGGTCATGTCTAGGACAACCTAAAACATTTAGTTCATCGTGCATGTGTACAACTAATGGGTCCTAACTCGGGAACCTCCAGTCCTATCCATTAAACTTCCGCCTGTTTTCTAAGCTGTCTCAAGTTCTTTTCTCCCGGTACTGCGGTAAGGGGCGCATGCCTCTTCCTGTGACTGAAGAGAGAAAGTCTTCTCAGCTGCATTCAGGGCCCCCCCCCCTTTCCCAGTTACTGTTGGTTTTTCAGTCTTACCTGCTGCCATTTACAAGATGAGTCTTCACCATTCTCGTCCCAGGTCTCTCGCTTTGCACCACACCGTGGTGTTCTGTTCAGAGCTCGGTTTCTTCTCATAGATTTCCCAAGGAAGAAGCAGTCACACCGTGCCGGTTAGACCACCCTCACTTCTCGTCAAATTGGACGCTGGTGACCAGGGTGGAGGTTGCCCTTGGCAACCATGACAGCACCAGGAGGTTAATGAATAGGACTGAGAGTGATTGGTTTGGCGTTTCTGTTGCAGTAGACATAGACTGACAACCCTTGGCTGCGCTGGTTGATGATACTCCTAACACCGCATTTCGAGTGTGTTGGAAATTGCTGAGCGTTTCATGCTGAGGGAGGAAGGGGCTCCACAGACCTCGCCTCTCTCTCAGGAGCCTGGTGACTTGTTTACGGTCAAACCAGTGCCCGTTGTGGGGGGGCGGGGAGTCACACCACTTACGGAGGGTCTTATCCACAAATGTGGTTATTGCCATTGATCCAGTGTTCAGTTTTCCCATTGACGCAACAGACGGAAGGTGACATAACTCCAACGTAACTCTTGCCTTTAGGCATCCAGAAGCTGCGCTGTGGAAACTAGTGACGTTGGTTGATAACTGCAGTAGGCCTTCAGCTTTGTGCATCATGTCCTTTCAAATGGAGCTAAATAAATGCCCCCCAAATTGAAACGTAAGACAGTCTTGCAAAAATGATCAGATCTGCAAAAGTAGGCCAATATAGACTAGGATTCAACATCATTTACAGCAGGGTTTTATTTGGGAAGCGGAGCCTGCTGGAGAGCGACCTTGGCTCTTACACGCTGTGCCTAAATGCCTCCGCGTCTGATAAATGGCAGCGATAAGCAGGCGCCAGACACGCTCGACTCCAAGGGCTGGGAGTTGGGGAGGCCTCCGCCATTAGCCCCTTTGTCTGCCTGGGCAGGTGCAAAATGATAGATTTCCATAGATTGTATCCGCCATCCCCCCATTCATCAGTCTTAGCATTTTCTCATACTTTGGATGTTCTCTGTTTCAAAACCATACAACTGACCCATTCATGAGAGGATGAATTGCAATCCTCTTTGTTGTATGACTGATGTTAACTTTTTTTTTTTTTAATTAAAAACCATTCCACAGAGAGAAGCTGCTCACCCAACAGATGTCTCCATCTCCAAAACGGCCTTGTACTCCCGCATCGGGACCGCCGAGGTGGAGAAACCCGCAGGCCTTCTGTTCCAGCAGCCCGACCTGGACTCAGCACTCCAGATCGCCAGAGCAGAGGTATTGTGTGTGTGGGGGGAGGGTGGCTCAGGGAAGCCCAGCTCTGGTTGCCCTGGGAAGACCTGCGCTTTCTGCCCCGCGTAAATAAATATGTATACCCACGTCCATCTTTGCACAGACTTGCTCCTCCGACCACTGCAGGCAGAGGTGGGTGGCACACCCTAGGTTTCAATCTTCCTAGATGCGATTGTTTAACGAACCTTTTATGGCCTTGTTGGATTTATCACAAAAAGCACACACCTTTTATTGCTCCCCAGTGGGCATTGTGAAAGTCTGATCGCTGGCTTATTTCTGTCTCGTGCTTGGGGAAATTCTCTGAATACGATTATTGTTTGGTGTAGGAAGCTTTCATTCCACATTTATTCAATGTCTCCTTGTTTCAGTCTGTGAATCGCTCAGATCTGAATTCACTCATTTACAGCCAACCTTTCCCTTCTTCTCCCTGATACTAGATCATAACCAAGGAGAGAGAAGTTTCAGAGTGGAAAGAGAAATACGAAGAAAGCCGGCGGGAAGTGATGGAAATGAGGTGCGTTGTAGTGCCTAGGCTTCTGGTACCTGTGGTTTGATAAGAGCTGGAGCTGGCCCATGAACAGTGCCTGCCATAGAAGTGATCTATTCTTTATTACCAAGGTTCCTATTTTCACAGTGTTTTTCGTATATCGCTATGATTAAAATATGTGCATGAGTTAAATAATGCAGCAAATACGTACAGTGAAAACCAAATCTCCTTTCCACTCGGCCTCTGGCTCCACGTCCCTCGAGTAACCGCTGTGCATCATTTCTGGTGAATCCTTCCAAGAATTTTCCATTTCTGATGGCAAATGTGTGAATGTAGCTATACAGGTTTCTTTGCTATACAGGTTTCTTTTATATTCAAAAGTGGAGAGTGGAAATATCCATTATCCTGCACTCTTTTTTCATTTAGCATGGACTGATTTTTATAGATTTCCACCTCATTGTTCAACTATTGCTTAATAGTCCTTACATGGTTATATCATACGTAATCTCACCAGTCTCCGTGGATGAACATAGAGGTTGTCTCCCGAATTTCGCTTGAATGATTTGTTTTCATTTTCTGCATTTGTAATACAAGTACGATAGCTACCGCCTGGCACATGCCAAGTACTGTGCTTTGGGCCTAAGACACATGGTCTGTTTCTGCCCCCGGCCCTCACGAAGGGATTGTCGGCTCTGTTTGACAGCAGAAGGCTCAGGGAGGTTAGGTGACTTGTCCAAGGTCCTCGAGCTTCTGGTTAGAAGAACAGACATTTGAATTCACCTTTCTGACTCTAAAACCCAAACTCTTTCTGCTGTACCCAGCGGCCTGCCTCCCTTGTTCTCACTTCCGATGCCCCCTTGCCCCTTTATTTCCTTTCTCCATTTATCACCTGTGACACTAAGAAACCATCTTTGGGGCTAGAACTTAGCTTTAGGATGTGGATGTGGTTTTTAAAGCAAGTGGCATTTTAAAAGCAACATCTACCCACACCTTGGCCCTGACCTTCCCAGCTTAGCAAGTGCTGTCCAGGTTCTGGCTGCTACCAGGTCTGAGAACTGCTTGGGGGTCGGGGGAGGAGCCAGTTCAATTTTTCACACCCCTGGCCTTTCTGTAGCACAAGCTGCATTGGCTTGGGTTTTCCAACTGTGAGAGAAAATATGGATTAGAGCACAATCATTTTAACAAGGCAGAAGATCTGGCACCATGATGAAAACATTATAATAGGCTTCATTTTTAAGTCTCAAAGTTGGGGAGTAAAGGCATGGATGAATTCTTTTTAAATGGTTGAAGAATTAGAACATGTATAGTACACTTAATTGCATTGGCAGGTGTTAGTTTATTATCAAAATCAATTGCATTTCTGGCTACCATTTTGAATCGCAAGCAAACTAGGTAGTCATAGCCCGTGTTGTTTGTGTCAAGCAGTGCCTTCCCGAAAATTCTCCCATTGGTTCCTTCTTTCTGCTGATGCTTTTTATGATCCCTTCTGGAGGTTAATCTTAGTGTGCTATTTCACGTTCAAACTGAGGCCCTGTAGTTGCATTATTTTTTTTTTTTTAAGATTTTTTTATTGGGGAACTGGGGGGATGGGAACAGTGCTGGGGAATTAGGGGAAGGGGAACAGACAAGTTGCTGTCGTTTTGTTCTTCAGTCTAGTTGTGGAGGACGTTGCTTCACTGGCCCAAGTTGGCACCATCATTGCGCTCTTCCCAGGCAAGGTACATCAGTCGCCGGCTTCTGGACGGCCGCTCACTGCGGCTGCTGGCCGCTCACGCTGGCTGCTGGCTACACACAGTAGCCCATGGCAACCCACTGCCACAGGGGCTGCAGCCTACACCGTCGCCGGCGACTCAGGGCAGCCCAGCTCCAGGTTGAGCTGTTGTTCAGCATCTTAGCTGTAGAGGGCAGTGTCACTGACCCTCATATGTGGGGTCCGAACCGGGGCCCTCTGGCGTCCCAAGCCAGTTCTTAACCATCGCGCCACTTGGCCGGCCAGTTGCATTATTTTAAAATCTATCTATCTATCTATCTATCTATCTATCTATCTATCTATCTATCTATCTATCTATTTAGATGAGGGGCTGGAGGAGAGAACAAGGTGGCTTTAATTTTTTTGCCTGCACTGCAGTGAAGCAAGGCATATTGGGAAGGCTGGAATTCTCTGATTCCTTCTGCCTCCCGGGGAGAAGTTGTACCTTTGGGGGCTCCAGGAAGTGCTATATTAACTGGAATGGTAGGATTTCAAGTGTCACCAGCTGGCACAGCTGCGCTGGTGTTTGATGGCCCCAGTGCCAACCCTGTCACCTTCTGAAGACAGACTGGGTGTAAATTAGGTTCTGCTCCCTACCTGCTTCTGGCCTGTCACATGACCCTGTGCCTGACTTGCATCATCTGTAAAAGGGGGATAAGTCCCAGGGCCTCGAGGCAGTGAGCATAGGGCTGTAAACAAAGGCTCCAGGGTCCCATGTCTGGTTCGAATCCTAGCCCTGCCACTCTGCAGCCCTGGGATCCTAGAGAGGTTCCCAATGACCCTCTGTACCCCAATATTCCCGTCCGCAATTCTGGGGACAATGAGGGCACTGCCTCTTGGTGTCATCGTGAGGATGAGATGACAATACTGCACAGCTGAAGCAGCGTTAGGCTCCTGGTCTCCCAGCATTTCTGAGAGGACACGGCTCTTACCTGCTGTGGTCCAGACTCTGTCCTCAGTAGTGATTGGTTCAGATGGGGCCCCGGCAAAGATCCGTCACCGTTTTCTGGTTCTGCGGTACAAGGAGGTGTGGTTTAATCACAGAAAACACAGAAGTGTGTCTGTGTTGGATTCAGAAAGAACCCAAGTGGGTTCATGTCCTGGTCACCTTTCTTGTTGTGGGTCTGTCCTGGGGTGAGTTACTGACCTGGGGGCCATAGTCAGGAAGCCGGGGACAGTCACCCAGCAGCTGCGGGGCCTTTAGACTTTGCAGCATGTGCTCGGCTTTTATTATCCCGTTAACCTTATTTAGTTTCCCCCACAGCCCTGGAAGTCAGAACCTAGGGTCACTGTCTCTCCTGGGGCGTAAGCTGAGCCCCTTCGTCTGTGACCAACTCACTGCCTGAGTCACGCAGCTGGGAGAGGCAGGGCTGCCTGGTCAGGGCACTGGATCTGCTGATGGTTAGTCAGTCTTGTTTCTCTTGTGGAAAATAATGATTGGATCACATAGGTGAACCCCCAAAGTCTTTTTCAAGAAGTTCCTTCCAGAATTGGGAGGAAGGGCTTCTTCACTCTGGGTCCTTCCACCGGGGGGCAGCAGTGAGGCAGGCAGTCTCCCAAGCTGGGGATCTTCCTGCTTTTGTGCGGCTGTTGTTTATTGAGGCTGCCCAAGAAGTGCCACTCTTTCTCCTCCCTCTGCTCCTCACCCGCACCAAACACAGTGACTAAGAAGTGAGACCCTGGGCCTTGAGGAACTGCCACACATTTAGTGTGATGCCAGATGAAGGAGAGGTTTTGGAAGAAGATTCAAATAAAATGTTATGGAGTTCCAAGGAGAATTCCGAGAAGGCTTCCTGGCGGAGATAACATGTGCCTTGGACATTGATAGACGGATGGACTATGAGAGGTGGAAATAGAGAGGGGATGTGAACTACGCGGGCAAGGGCATGGAGGTGAGAAAGCTCAGAGCAAATAAGAAATCGTGTGTTCTCACTGAACCATTGTGTTTGTGAGATGGCATGGAAGGAGGTAAGATTGATGAGGGGGACCAGGCCCAGGCTGCAGAAGGCTTCAGTTGTCAGGATGGTTTGGCCTTATTTTGTTTCTCAGTACGGAGACATTGAAGGTTTGCACAGGGAGTGGTGCGTTCAGGCGTGACTAGGAAAATGAACCTATTTGGGTGTGCAGGGAGAAGGCTGAGGTTGGAGGTAGCCCTAGAAGGGGAGTCAGCTGTGACAAATGAGACATGTCCCCTCGTACGTTGGTCAGGCTGCGGATGTGCGCAGCACGTGGGCCATGGGTGAAATTGTCATAATTCCAACATGTTTTCACTTCTTTTACAGGAAAATAGTGGCCGAGTATGAGAAGACGATCGCGCAGATGATAGGTGGGTGTCCTGCCTGGCCTGCCCCGAGGTTTCTAAACTGTGGGGGGAGCTTTGAGGATAGAGACTCAGAGCGTGCTCCTTTCAGACTCCTCTTAGAGCTTAAGGTCCTTCAGGGAGGGACCCAAACATCCCAGAACGCGCGGCTTTGCCCCAGGACAGAGAGCCTGGGGGCCCCCTGGACACACCTGCTAAAATGTCCCTCAGCATTCTTCATGCCTGTGACAGACCATGGCATTCACCTCAGTGGCCATCATTTGACCCAGCGAGGACTGCCCACCTCCTGGGGAGAGAGATTTGGGTTGGTTCCTGGGATGTTTGCGATGGGAGAGACGAGGGATCAAATCCCTAAAGTAGCTTAGACTCAAGTGACAATGCCCCACTCAGCCTTTACACAGGGTCTAGGACAAGGGCAGAGCATGTGACAGCCCAGCCGCCCGCCCCTGCTTCCTCCACTGATGTGGCGGATCCTGTCAGCTAACCACAACGCTTTTTCGCTCAGGTTGGATACTGCCTCAGAATCCACCTTAACACAGCATCCTGGCAGCCAGTACTGCGGGTTGCCTTGGCTCGCGATAAAACAAGGCCTCGAGTGATGAGTTATACACACTTGGGTCTTTTTTTTTTTTGAATAATGAGAAAAGATCTAGTGGAAGTTCCAAGGTCAAATTTTTACACTGTTGATTTCTATTCAAAAATGATGCGATGATTCTAGGGGTTAGGCTTTTTTATCTATTTATTTATTTATTTATTTGCTTAGGTCCATGACATCAGTTTTTTAAAAACTTCTTTATTCCTAAGGACATAGGGAATAAAGACCCCAGTTCTCTGCACCCCACAGTTTCTGTGTGCAATTTGATACTGCCAGCAGACAGCCCCTCTCTCTCCTACGTGTCGTACCACACCTGTAGCTCCTCCCAGGATGAATATGAGAGCAGCCTTGGGAATGGCAAAGAGGCTGACAGTTGAGTGCTATCCATTCAAAGGAGCTTTAATTTTGATTGAGTAAAATAAAGGTTGTTTCTGCCAGAGCTCAGGGGGAAACCCATTCGGGAGTTGCAAAGGATCAGCCTCACGGTGTCTGCTTTCTATCCAATGGGACCTCTTGATTAAATTGGTATAAGAATTTATGAATACATATAGATGAGATAAAAACAGAACACAGAATGGAAACCGCCGCTGGGAGTGGCTGCGATGAAGGCTTTATGCCTTCCAATATACGGGCTTGGAAAGAGCATGACCTCTGGCCTCCTGGAGTCTTGGGATGTGACAGCGCCACTCACACCTACAGTGGCTTATCTGGAAACATCCCTCTGTGTCTGCGAGGCATATATTTTTATTTTTGCTCTTGGTGATGACGCTGAAGCCAACGTTGAAATGAGGGTTAGAGTCTGGGAGCCTTGGCCACTGGGAGAAGGCTGCCCAGAGCCACTTTTTATTGTTTGGTGGGCAGTTTTGATAGAAGACATTTCTGCTTGAAAACCAGGAGTAAGAATCTCTCTCGTTGCGTAAGCGGCCTGTCCTGGGGTGACAGATTATTCAACTCTGAGGCTTTCCTTGCAGAATATCAGCAGGGGAGAGTAGCCAGAGCAGCAGGGTCAATTCTAGACAAGCTGACTCCAGGGGCTGTGGCTGCGCAAGCCCACCCCTGCTCCCCCAGTACCCTGCTCCCCCACAACCCCACCCAGGAGAGGTAATATTTGGCGGAGGGTCCCTCTCTTCAAGAGGGGCAAACTTGCCCCTTTTGAGTGTTTTTGTTTTGGGGTGTTTGGGAATCTCACAGTTGGCTTCATGAGACCCCTCCAGCGTCCCTAGTAGGGAGCCACATTGTCACTCAGGGTGGCATCTCACCATGTGTCCATTTCTTGTTCCCCATCCTCGCTCATCCATCTCCCATCATCTTCATCATCCACTTTTTCAGACGTGTTCGCATCAGCAAAGGGTGCATCTCTGCTTATCCTCCGTCCATCACTCTGCATGTCATTGCTCAGGGTCACCATAGATGTCAAGGTCCTCATGTCCTTGTAGAACATGAGGGCTAAGGCACAGCTGGGACGCGCTGTGGTTGTGGGTGGGATGTGTCCTCTCTGGGCGGGCCGTGAGTCTCTCCATGTGTGGAAGTAACATGCCCATATGTCTCATCTGGGTTCCACATTTTTCTTCTCCTTTTCGCTCACCTAACCAGCATTCCTTGTGGAAGGGGAAACTCAGGCCCAGAGAACTTGGCAATTCAGGACTGGAGTGACTGTAATCGCTAAAACCAGTTTCCATCTACCTACACTAGCCTTTGCTGGCTCCAGCCTGGCTCTGCGGCCTCAGTTTAACCATCACAAATGCTCCACACCGACGTGACGTCTGTCCTACCATCATTGTCCATTCTCGCCACGTGTTCCGAAAGAGAATGTTTTAAATTAAAACATTGAATATTTAGAACTCAGAATAGAAAGAAACTTCTGTGCTTTCTGCATTGCAGGTTGTTGCAATTGATTTTTTTTTCGGCTTTTCCTAACAACTGCCCTGATTATCTGTTTTGCTTCCATTTTCTGTTGCTTCTTGCCCTTTGCTTGCAAAACAAACAGGCAAGCCTGGTAAGTACCTGCTTTTCACCTAATTTAACACCTGCCCATTGCAATCCTTGTTTGTTTTGTTTGCTTTTCTATTTTTGTTACTTTTGCTTTTGTGTATTAGCTGCATTTTCCCACATGATTTAATAACGTTTCTGCCAGAAAATCTGCAGGAAGATCTTTTTGTTGTCGGGTCTGGAGCATCTTGGGTTTGGGGCTGATTTCCTGGTTTGAAGAACCTCACTGCATTTGTAATTTACAAAAAGATTTGTGAAGCATTCTCGCCTCCTCAGTCTCCTGGGAGCTGGGAAATTCCATTTTTAAAGGGGTTGTATGGGGAGGAAAGGAAACCTGACGCAGACTGGGTCTCAGTTCCAGGAAATCAGATGGACTCTGTTTGATCGATGGCTCCTTTACCAGCCAAGTGAAATGTATACAAGGCCTCAGACCAGCCTGGAATGTGCATTGTACAGCATGCTGAGAGCTGAGGAAGCAGCTAAAATTCAAAGAATGAAAAGCATCTGGTTCCTGTGAAACGCTGAAACGCCCTGCTCTTGTAGGAGTCTGGACGGAGCTAGCAGATTACTGGCAGTCCTTTGCTTACTTTATGTTAAGCTCGTGGGTCACTGTGATGTGACATCACGCCAGTTTGGGGGTGCCAGTAGTGCTATTGGCGGGTCATGGACCTAGGTTCCTACTGTGTGCTGAAGGCTTTATATACATTTTAACTTTCCCCCCACAAGGCTGTGAGATAAATATTGTAATTCCCTATTTCAGGGCAGGAGGCTGAGACTCAGAGGTTATAAACCCTGCCCCAGGTCACACAGCTGGCAAACTCCAGAACCAGAGCTTGAGCTGGGTGGGCACTGGTGCTCTGGCCCTGGGCTCTTCACCTCCGGGAGCTCTGAGAGGCAGGGCTGAGGGGACAGCAGGCAGCTTCTGTCCTGTGGTTTTCTAAGCACGCTCCCTGGACCAGCTGCCTCAGCATCGCTGGGGAACGCATTTCAGATGCAAATTCTCGGCCCCATCCCAGACCTACTGAATTGGGACCCCCTGGGGTGCAGCTGTCTGTGTTTGGGCAAACCCCTGCTGATTTGGTTGCAAGCTCACAGGGGTCGACCCTTTTTTTCTGGAAACGAAGCCCTAGGACCCCTGGAGTCCATACTTGAGCCAAAACCAGGATGTGGCCCCCAATGCTACCCCCTCCCTCTACACCACACACCTAATATGCCTAACCGCGGGCTACATACAGCAAGAAGCCGATCCGTCAGGACTCAAGGGGAAAGAACCCAGAGCAGCCACTCCCCGCCTTTGAGGGGGCTGCTTCCTTCTAGGTCTGTTACTCAGAAGCCTGTGCAGAGATGTGGTTATGAACACGGCATTGGGTTTGGGTCCTGCTCTGCCACTTCCTCAGTGGACCGGTGATAGCATCTCAAACCCTGTTTGCCTTCTGTGGAATGAAAATTAGAAACACCCTGCCCCCGGGCTGTGAGGCGCCACTCACTCATCCTTTGCAGGGCAGGTGTTGAGGCGTCCTGTGCGTCACGCACTATCCTGGGCCCTGGGCCAGCACAGTGGACAGAACCGACTCAGGACCCGGACTAGGCAATAATGTACAGAGGAGACGTTTCCCACAGGTGCTCAGGGAAGGTCTCTGGGGATGTGAGCTGGGATCAGAACTCTGAGTGAGCTGGGGGCCGTAGGAGCCCTGGGGTCCCTGTTCTGGGCAGAGGGCATGGCAGCACTGAGCCCTGCGACATGGAGGCCATTGTGACGGGAGCTGGGAGGGCAGGGGGAGGCCCCTGGGGGGATCTGAGCAGGAGTGAGGTGACCCGATTTGGGCTTCTGAAAGCTCAGTCTGGCTGCTGTGTGCTGGCTTGGGAGCACTAAATGAACATCATGGCACCTGACATGGAAGAGCTCAGCATGCATGGCTGCTATGTTTATGGCTGTTGTCATTTCTAAATTCCATCCTTCCTAAGGCAGGCCCCTCCCAGGGGACCTGGGGCTGACAGAGGGACAGGTCTGCAGAGCTCAGAGCCAGGGCTTCTCTCTGCTGTCACCAAAGTTCCAGACAGATCACAGCAAACGGTTCCTCGCCCACCTGGACCAGTGTGGATCTGCACACAAAAGATAGCACCATGCGGGCAAGCAGCTGGGTTGTGCGGTGTGGTCAGAGAAAACCTTTCCCATATAATGAAGTGTTTCCTTCCAACGCTCGGGCAGACTGTTAGCTGGTGATGGCCCAGAGAGGTGGAGTTGGGGACAGAGCTGTCCCTTTCACAGCATCAGCCACTCTGAACTAGGCCAGAATTGAATTCTTTTGTATATAACAGAAACGCCAACAGAAATAGCTGTTTTTCTCAGCGTTAAGACACCTGCTGTATCAAAGAGAAGACCCATTTCTGTGGGAAGCAGAATTTCAGGGGTGATGGTTATGTGGGCTCTGGGTTCATGGGATGTTTTAAGGATGAAGAAACCTTTTTCTTTCCTAATGGCCATCTCTTTATCTTGATAACACTTAGGAAGGCCTGCCCTTCACAGCTCAGACTACAGGAACTTCTAATCTTGCCAAACACAAAATCCAGCAGTGATGCTTTCTTTTTAAACCTGTGCATCTATCTGTTTGCTGTCAACAACCAGACAGAATCACTGGGGTCTCCGGTGTAGATTTTTACGGGGCTGCATTGCTCAGGTTCAAGAACAATGGCTAACATCCATCTAGCTAACACTGCACAGGCGCAGGTCTGAGATGCAGGGTCATGTGGTTTGTGCCTTGAGAGGTAGTCCAGGTGGGCTCAGGGGAGGGTCTCTCCCGAGTCAGATGTCTACTGGTTAGGCTGAGGCCTTGCTGGCCCCTGAGACCAGGCTCGGGTTCCATGGGCTCCATGGTTTTGTTCCTGTCTCTCCTGCCAGAGGATGAACAGAGGGAGAAGTCGGTCTCCCACCAAACGGTCCAGCAGCTGGTCCTGGAGAAGGAGCAAGCCCTGGCTGACCTGAACTCTGTGGAGAAATCTCTGGCTGATCTCTTCAGGAGATACGAGAAGATGAAAGAGGTCCTGGAGGGCTTCCGCAAGGTGTGTGTGTGTGTGTGTGTGTGTGTGTGTGTGTGCGCGTGCGTGCGCGCGTGCTCGGGGGACGGGGGCGGTGGGAGAGAGCAGACCAGGGGGAGAAAGATAAGTGGGGCTTCTAGAAGGCCATCCTCGCAGGCTGGGGAGTCAGACTTAGCTGCCTGAGGGTATACCTTCATCAGAGAGCTTTTGGGGTTCCCAGCACTCCTCGGCATTTCTTCTGTGGGCTCGAGCCCTGTCCTCTGTCGTGTCAGAATGAAGAGGTGCTGAAGAAGTGTGCCCAGGAGTACCTGTCCCGAGTGAAAAAGGAGGAGCAGCGGTACCAGGCCCTGAAAGTGCACGCAGAGGAGAAGCTGGACAGGTATTGCGGTCGGGCTGCTTCCACGGCAGGGCGGGAGCCCCGATGGCGCCCCTGACCTTGGCCTGGAGAGGGCGGATCATTTTTTCAGTACAGTTCAGTGTAATTTGTGACAAGTGCATTTTTCAGGTAACATGCATTTTATAAGCGAAGGATGCACGTTGTCATTTCCAGAGCGCCTGCTCAAAGTACCTCGGCCTCATGAGAATGGGTGCTTGGGATGGGGGTTTTCATGGGCTCCTGTGCTGGGTCTTTGTTGCTGGGAGCTGGAGCCAGATGGTTTCCTCTGCCCAAAGTTGGGGAGGAAGGTGTCTACAGAGAAGGGTGATAGTTGCTGAATCCTCACCCCCATTCCTGCAGGGCCAATGCTGAGATCGCCCAGGTCCGGGGCAAGGCCCAGCAGGAGCAGGCCGCCTACCAGGCCAGCCTGCGGAAGGAGCAGCTGCGAGTGGACGCTCTGGAAAGAACGCTGGAGCAGAAGGTAACGGGCCCGGGGCGGTGGCCTCCAGGCAGGCAGGGCTGGCCAGACCCTCAGATTAACAGAGGCTGGGCTTCCATTGCAGCTCCCTGGGCAGAACCCACACAACAGCGGCTCTCCCAGGACGAGGTCATGCTTAGTGACATAGCCATGCCCTCCCTCGGGAAGAGCCAGCTTACCACCAGCTCTGAGACTGGCCTCCTTTCTGCCTTTCCTGGAATAGCTGCTACATGGCTGTTTATTTCCCTTTTTCATTCCTTGTCAACAATCATCTACTTGTCAAATAATTGTTAAGCACCTACAGTATGCCAGGCATAGTATTTTAACCACAGCAGCCACTGTGCTTACCGATGAGTGGATGGTACCCATCAGGACCACCAGTGGGTAGATGCAGAGACAACTAACTGCCTGGTGCAGAATATGGGCTGTGTCCTCTTCTTTCCGTGCATGGGGGAGGGTACTCCTGAAGGCCCTCAAGCTTGTCCCCAGGTTTCCTGATTTACAATCTAGTGCTCGGTCAACTGTATACACCGTCTCCCTGGGAGTCCAAACAAGAAGCCCCTTTTGCCCAGGAGTGCCATATGAGTCTGAGTCTGGGTGAGTGTGGGCCAGGTATTCTCCCTCCCTAGGTGCGTTCCCAGACATGCAGCCCGATTCTGATTGATTTGCTGAGCCTTAGGATTCCCCAGGATGGTCATCAGAGAGCCCAGTGGCGTTGGTTAGAGTACTTCTCATGCACTGGGGCCTTGATGGGCAGTGGTGGGGTTCCTTTGTTAGGCAGGTGGCATCAGGACTCCATCATGTATCCCAGATGGCCTCTGCTAATCCAGAAGCACCCAGCGGGCCTCAGATTGGAGCCCTCTTGTGCCCACACCCACCCAGGTTCCAGTGGGGCTGGCTGGGGCCCCCAGGGGTACCTGGGCCAAGCAATACTAATTTCTGCATTGGCACGTCCTTTTTCTCACTCCACCTACGTGATGCCAGGAACGAGCCCTGGGACTCGGGAGACTCGGGTCCTCGCCCCACCCTGCCATCTAGAATGGCCCTGGGCCAGCCTGGCCCTTCACCTCAGTTTCTAAATTTGTAATGTTGGAGGATTAAACCAGAAAATCTAGAAGGTTCCCTCTAGCTCCAGGCTCCAGTATTGAATGAATTTCCCTGAGGTCCAAGTCTAATTGCAACTCCGCCTCCTGTTGACTCTGTCCCACAGTAGGTTCCTGGTCATCCAGAATTCACACAACTAGAAACTCACGTTACCAGACCATTTTCATTCTTTACCTTTTCCTCTTGGGATGAAAAAGACACATGGCCACTGGGAAGCTCAATATCAGAGAATCTATATTTTTACAAAAGAAAGAATCTGGACTGTGCTCTATGTGTTCAACCACCCGTATTTCCCAGGCTCTGACCGTTGTTCTCAGCAGTAACCACAGAGATAAGCAATACGGTCAGAACCATCACATGCCAGCACTTACTCAGTATTTACCCGAGCATCACTGCAGTTTTAGTGTTGAGTGCGTGTTTATTTTTATTCTTTGAATGATGATAATCCACAGTAGCATATTTGGTGACTCTTGAAAAGTGGAATATTTTTTTAAATTGAAGACCACATTCCCCAGTCATTTTGGGTATAAAAACAGTTGTGTATCAGATGCTTCTAGCCAAGAAACATAGCAATATGATTGTTTCCTCCTATTTCCACCAAGATTGGATGGTGTTTAAATTGCATCACATTGGTGCAATTTAGGTAAATAGAGGTAAAGTGCGAACCAGGATAGATGTTTTCAAGGCACCTGGACTGTTCAGACTATTACAGTTGCAAAATGAATGTGATGCTAAGTTTTCTGGCGAACTAAAAGACGAGGAAGAAATTGGATCACACAGTGTCGGGTAACAGAAAAGGCTGGAAAACATATCTGGAAACGTAATTTTGCCCTAAAAGAAAGCTCAAGAGGAATGAGTTAATCACATGAGTTCTTCCCTAAAGGACTCTAAGTGATTTAGAGGGGACAGTCTCTGTTTTTAAAAGATTCAGAAGCGTGATTTCCCCCCGGGCAGTTCTTACGTGAAGGCATTGGGCATTTCACCCAGTCAGGACTCTGTAAAGGTTTTTGCGCAGGGAGCTGAGCTCTGTGATGGAGCAGTTCGCTAGGCGGTGGGGCCGTGGGGCCAAGATGGAGCATGGAGAACCTCCAGGAATCGATAACTTGTGGGTCTGCTAGTGCCTCTCAGCCATCAGTCACTAGACGTGATGTTTAATAAGTAAAATAGCAAAGCTGTGGAGGAGCCAGGCTTGCCACGTCTGACCAGCGCAATGCTTCACCTCTCTGAGCCTCGGTCTCCTGACTGAACAGTGGGGATGATTGGCTTCCATGAAGGGGCCAAGGTGAGAACCGAGTGAGACCTCAGTGCTGGTGTGTTTAGCATGCTGACTGGCACACGGCACATGGTGCTCCAAGAAGATGAAACATCACCATTAGCAGCCCCAGCAGCGGCAGTGGCGGCAATAATAGTAATTCAGGATTAGTGGTTAGTGCTGATTCCATGCAGAGCCTCAGCTTCCAATGGGCATTTCAGCGCCTCTCAGAATTGAGCCTCTCAGAACCATAAACTCGAGACGGGAGGCAGGCTGAGGTGATGTTTCTGCCAGGGCTCTCTCCTGGCAGGGGGGCTGGTGGCAGGACTGCCTCGAAGACTGAATCTCTCCTGCACGAAGGCCGGGTTCTTCCCAGGCACTGCCACAGTGATGCGTGGCAGCAGGAGCCCAACCCGGAAACACAGGACACATGGCACCAGGCAGGAACATGTCTTAGGAGGCTCCGTATTTCCAAGGAGGGGCCTCAGTACAGCCTTGGCTTGTACAGGCTTGTGGTTAAGATTCACCTTCCAGGGGGACCTGGAGGGAACGCTCGCTGCAGAATGTCCCCAGAACACTGGAAAGATGTAGCCCCTTAGAGAAGGCTGTTCCAGGTGGGCTGTTAAGCCAGGTCAGCATCTAGCCCATCCGAGAGCAAAGGCCCGCCTGCCAATGCCAAGGTGGAGGCATTGTCCTGTTCTTAAAGAATGTACAGTGTCATCAGATCATTGGTGTGAGGTGAACATGAAAGTGTTTCCTCTTGATGGGGCTTCAGAGGACAGGCAGGGCATGGCGTGAGGAACCCCTGAAGCCGTCTGCGTCCCCACGACCCCTGTATCACAGCACTGCCCATTTGGCTTTCTCTAAATAATGCCAGTGGTCCCCATTTGAGTAGAATTGCTGAACCCCTCCTGGTGGCATTTCTCAAAAGAGCCACAACAGCTCACCCCAGCCCATCCTTTTGTGTCTGCATCCTTCAAAGGCAAATAAAGGGAAGAGAACCAATACTCGTTAGGCCTTTATTGTGTTCTGGGGAACTTTACATGTCTGACCTCATTTAATTCTCAGAGACAGATGTTCATCAGCCACCTTTTAAAGATAAGGAAGCCAAGGCTCAGAGAGGTTCTGTAACTCGCCCAATGTCACACAGCTAGAGCTGGGATGTATATAGATTGTTTGACTCCAACTCATTTCTCAGGGGGACCAAGGGGCCTGGAGGACTCCATGGCCCTAAAAAATCCAATGGCCATTCTGATTGGCTTGATTTCAAACAACCAAAGGTTTCAGCAGCCTGTTTTTGTTTTGTTTTATTTTGTTTTTGTCTTCACTTGCAGAACAAAGAGATAGAAGAACTCACCAAGATCTGTGATGAACTGATTGCCAAAATGGGGAAAAGCTAACTTTGAACCAAATGTTTGGACTTGACCGTTGCGTGCAATATGACCGTCGGCACACTGCTGTCCTTCCAGTTCCAGGGACAAGCTCTGTTTTCACTTTTCGTATGCACTACTGTATTTCCTTTCTACATAACGTTGATTTGATTGTATGCAGTACTAAGGAGACTATCAGAATTTCTTGCTATTGGTTTGCATTTTTCATAGTATAATTCATAGCAAGTTGACCTCAGAGTTCCTGTATCAGGGAGATTGTCTGATTCTCTAATAAAAGACAAATCGCTGACCTTGGCTTTGCCCTTTGTCCATGAGTTCCCAGGGTGAGCGGCTTTTGGATGTAATATGAACATGTACAGCTTGCACAGGGACTCTTGCCTTAAGGAGTGTAAACTTGATCTGCATTTGCTGATTTGTTTAAAAAAAAAGAAAGAAAATGCATGTTTCAAATAAAATTCTCTATTGTAAATAAATTTTTTTCTTTGGATCTTGGCAATACGTGTGGCTATGATTTATTTTCTGGGAAGCGTTGAGCCTTTTCTCGCCTTTGTTAAATCCTATCAGATTTGGCCTTTCGCTCTCCTCTGTCTGGGCTTATTTCTTTGTCCATAGATTTAAATAACATCTTCGTGATCTTCGCTGAGTTTGTAAGTTGAAACTAATGAGAAATATTGACTTGCCACTTAAATAATTAAGCGAATACATTGAATTGGCTTGGATTTTGTTTTTACAAAGTCTCTATGACTTTTAAGGGGCAAAATCTATTTACCTCCGTTGGCTCGTGGAATGAGTAATAGCTGCCCCTCTTTCTGTCTGTTCCCTCGGTGTGTGCACATCAACCCTGCATCGTTCACCTCTAAAGGAAACCCTGAGCAATTACCGGTGGGAGACTGGTAATTAGGCCACTTTGGAGATTAAACTAGGGATATGTGCCTGCCGTTAAATTCCTTAATTGCCCCGATTTCTCTGGGACCCCAGATTGAAGGGTGGGTACATGGCGGGAGGGAGCGGGTGGAAAGTGTCTTGTTTCCCAGGACTGCCACACCAAATTGCCACGAACTTACCAGCTCCAAACAACATAAATACATCCTCTCTCACACTTCTGGAGGCCAGAAGTCCAAGGTCAAAGTGTTGGTGAGGTTTGTTCCCTCGAGGCTGTGAGGGAGAGCCTGTTCTGTGCCAGGATTGGATCCCAGGTCTTCAGTGATGGCAAGGTCCTTTGCATCCCCCAGGCTGACAGTTTTCTTCAAGGAAGTCCAAGCAGAAAGTGGTGGAGAGAGAAGGCATGGGGCAGAAATGCATCCTGGCGCCTGCTGTGACCTCCATTCTAGTCTGATTGTTGGCCCTGCCTTGAGTCTGGCTGGCCCCCCGCTGTTGTTTTTATGGACTAGAAAACACCTGCTCTTCGTTCAGTGGACGGAAAAGGCCGTGGGGCTCGCCCAGGCTGTTGCGAGTGAATGGCTTTGCTCTTCCTGGCCGTGGCAGGTTTCCCTTGCAGTCAGGGGTCCCATGGCACCTCCCCAGGCTGGAGGCACCCAGCCAGGCTTCTGAGCTCCCTGAGCTGGGACAGCAATGGCAGAATCTGGAGAATTCCCAAGTCTCTTGTGGGTTTACAAGGACCTGGAAACACAACTTGGAGATCAAAAGCAGTAGGACTAGGCAAAACCCAGACTCCTTGACCCCTCTAAGCCCTGGGAAATCTGGCCCCTCACCCCTTCTGACCTCCGTTTCCCCTTTCCCACACGAGTGCAGGCAGACTGCCTCTCCCTCCAGCTGAGCACATGCTGTGCCCTCTACCTGGGACACTCACCCTGCGCAGCGCCCTCTCTCAGCGCATGTCCACTCCCTTAGAACTCATCCTTGATGTCACTTCCTCCAAGGAGCCCTCCCTGAACCCTCAGGCCTGGGTCAGTGTTTTAAAATGTAGGTTTTATTATTATTCAGGTACAGTGAGGCTAATAGATCAGGAGGCAATCACCAGAGGAAAGAGAATTCGTTAAAGGAGCCTGTCCCCTTCCAAGAGGGGGCGCCCCACAGGGCCACATGGGGAAGCAGCAGGTTGGGCAGGCCGCAGAGGGAGCCGTGAGGCAGCGTAAGCAGGCTTAGGATTGGCTGGTTTGGGTCATTTCAGCAGGTTCTGGGGCAGAGCAGCTCACTCTAGTTGTCTGGTACCTGGCCCTGGGGTGATTAGGGTAGGGGGACAGTGGCCCTGAGAGGAAGAGCCCCTTTCAAGAGGAGGTTGGGATATGGACTCTAGATTGGTTGGTTTGCGTATGGAAGGCTCACTTGTAGGCGAGTCCTTTTCTGTCTCTAGGATTCGGCTAGCCCTGGGAGGGACATCTCTCCAGAGTCAGCAAGGCCCCATGATGTCAAAGCATCAGAATAAAGAGACATGCTTAATCCAATCAGTTGCCCCTCCAGTGGGAACCTGCAGCTCACTGGTCCCTCACCCTGTGCACTGTGAGCCCCAGAAGGGCAGAGGCAAACCCCCAAAAGGAAAAGAGGTGATTTTTAAGGGCAGCCCACAAATGACCTTTTAAAAATAGTTATGTAGTTAATGACTATTAGAAATAAACCAGCATACTGAGTATGTTATTTCACTGATAAAATAAATTTACTTTAAAAACATTGTAACAAAAAATTGTCAGTAAAAAGGTAAGCCCATTCTGCAAGAAAAGTTTTATGTAAGTAGTGTTCCTCCAGGTGATAGGAGGTTATGAAATTGAGGATATGAAATCGCTATTCCTGGCATGGGCTATTGCTAGCCTTAAACAATCTTGAATTTATTTTGTATTTTGTTAAGGTTAGAGCCTTGAAGAGCTCTTAGGGTTTTGCCAAAGCTTGTTGTGTGCCTTCACCTTGTCCCCATTTCATCCCCACCCCATAGCACGAGAGCCTAAAGCCAGTGCAGCTGTCATCACCTGTCCCAGTCCTGGCTGCACCAACCTGGAAGTCTTGGAATTATAGGGTCAGCAGTGGGCAGAGCTAAGGAGTGGTTTTGCCTGAGTTTTGGTTCACAGACCTGAAAACTAAAGCTCGGAGTCAGAGAGAGGACTTTCCCGAGGCCACACAGCAAGTTAGTAGTGGCCAGTGTGTGACCCTGTCCCGTGCTCTTTTCCTATTGTTGGGACCACCCCAGCCATATAGGACTCAGCTCCAGGGAAGGACCCACACCTNAAAAAGAAATAAACCAGCACACTGAGTATGTTATTTCACTGATAAAATAAATTTACTTTAAAAACATTGTAACAAAAAAATGTCAGTAAAAAGGTAAGCCCATTCTGCAAGAAAAGTTTTATGTAAGTAGTGTTCCTCCAGGTGATAGGAGGTTATGAAATTGAGGATATGAAATCGCTATTCCTGGCATGGGCTATTGCTAGCCTTAAACAATCTTGAATTTATTTTGTATTTTGTTAAGGTTAGAGCCTTGAAGAGCTCTTAGGGTTTTGCCAAAGCTTGTTGTGTGCCTTCACCTTGTCCCCATTTCATCCCCACCCCATAGCACGAGAGCCTAAAGCCAGTGCAGCTGTCATCACCTGTCCCAGTCCTGGCTGCACCAACCTGGAAGTCTTGGAATTATAGGGTCAGCAGTGGGCAGAGCTAAGGAGTGGTTTTGCCTGAGTTTTGGTTCACAGACCTGAAAACTAAAGCTCGGAGTCAGAGAGAGGACTTTCCCGAGGCCACACAGCAAGTTAGTAGTGGCCAGTGTGTGACCCTGTCCCGTGCTCTTTTCCTATTGTTGGGACCACCCCAGCCATATAGGACTCAGCTCCAGGGAAGGACCCACACCTGGGGAGCCACCTGGGCATGATTTGAGTACCCATGGGGCCTCTCACTGCACGTGCGCGCGCGCTCGCGCACACACACACACACACACACACAGTGTCCTGGGCCCCGATTCTTATAGAACCAGCTTGCAGGCTCTGAGGCCTAGACATTACAAAATGCCAGGCCCCAGGAGCCCTGGGTCTACACTTTCCACCAAGCGAGGTCAAGGATGTGTTCAGAGTCACACAGCTAGTTAGTGCCAGAACCGGACTCGAGATAGAGTATTATTTCAGTGTACCCATCTGCCTCCCCATACATGTGACTGGCTGGAATGGGCTGAATTGGACAATCTGGGAAGTAGTGAGCTCCTCATCCCTGGACATTCAAGGAGGAGATGGGCATCCCGCCAGAGTCCCTCTATAAGGGCGATTTGGGTACAAGGTGGTTCTAGCTGAGGCCTGTGCTCCATGCGGTCTGGTGTCTGAGCCACTGAAAGCCTTTGTTCTTGGGGTTTCTGACTTGTCTGGGCCTGTGGGGCTAAGTTTCTGCACATCTTGGTACACAAGGCACCATCAGGAAAGGGTCTTGAGGGAAAGGTGCTAGGGCCTTTTCCATTTATTTTTATTTGTTGTCTTTGCACCCAAGAGCTGCATGGCGGATGTATGTGCAGAGATCTTTGGGGGTGGGCTGAAGCCCCCGGATCCTTGGGCTCAGACCCTGTAGGGCATGATGGACCTAGCCAAGTCCAGGCAGGGTTCCTGCTTAGGAACTGGGGAGTGTGGCACCCTGGGACACTTCCCTAGAGTGGCCACTAGAGAGCGCCCAAGGGCTGCTCTCCGCTGTACCTCAGACGTGGTACCTGAGGGATCCCAGCTGACTCAGAATGGACATGTTGGTCCAGGACAATTATTTCAAACCCTTTAATGGGGACCTACATTCCAGGGACAGGTAGCTGGGAGAAGTTGGAGGGAGCAACAAAGGAGTGAATATGTTCATTTGTGCAAAGATGTCTGAGATGTGACTGACCCACACAGAAGCAGATGCACACACATGTGCATATGTGAACATGTATGTATACACACACACACGTGTGCACGCACCGCCCACCCATGCACAAAGGCAGAGCGGTGGGTAGGTACTGGTACGTCCAATTATCCAAGTCAAGAGACGTTAGTTGAACCGGTCTAAGGTCTGCATTTGGTTGTTGGGCTCTGTGGAGAGAGGTGGCTAAGCTGCCGTAGAACACCCCACAGTAACCAACTGCTCTGCAAAGCAGAATGTGGGTGACAGGAGCGGGAATCCCAGAGCTGAGGGTGTGAGGAGGGAGGTCCATTCAGAGGTGCCTCCCATGTATATAGTAGTGTTTTGCAGTTTCTAGAACTCAGCGACAGGCAGAGCAGGTGCGTTCCTGTTCTGCTTTATCATTTACGTGAGAATGCCCTGGAGGAAGCCCGTCCTCAGGTCTTTCGGGACTTGGGTGAGCCAGGACTTTGATGGACCACGGTTCCCAGGTGTAATAGATGTGACCGCCTCCTCCCCTTCCCCCAGTTCAAGGTATGGGCTTTACAGGCCAAGTCGCTGAGGACACCACCAGATTCTGCCTTGGCCCCTGAATGAAGGCTCATGGCCTTGTCCCTGACTTTTAGACAGTTCTTAGTTCCTGGGGGCAGCAGATTAAAAAACAACCGCCAACAAAATAAACCATCGGGCATATCTTCCAGTCATGTCAAATTCTCCAATTTTTATATAAATGTTTTTGTCAAAACATGTCTGGACACTAGGGCTAGAAATACAGCACCTCGGCATTCCAAAGCTGGGAGGTATCTGAGAAGCTTCTAGTCTAATCTTTTCCAGATGAGGCCTGAGGAGGTGGGGGCCGATGCCCACTGAGGCCATCTTAGAGAATCTCCCAGGTTACCCCAGGAGCTGTAAGGAAACATGGCACTATGGGAAACAGGAATGGCACCACTCCGCTCAGGAGGGAGGCCGAGGAGGAAGTGTGCTGCACCCCAAGTGTGTGACACCCCCGTGGTTGGTCTCTGTGACACACCACGCCTCCTGTTGCCCCCATCTATGTGCTGAAACCAGGCCTGGAACAGGAAGTGCTCAGAACCTTTCCTGATGTTGCCATGGTGCCCACGAGAACCCGGGGAAACCAAAGGCCAGCTCCCCTGCCAAAGTACCTTGGCCCATAAAAGAAAAAGGGTGAGCCCCAGATGTCACCAGCGCTCTGAGGATTCAACCTCAGAAGGTGAACAGCCCCCTGCGATCGATCCTGTAATTTGGAGACCTGTACAATGAGAACGCCTCCGTTTGACAAGCTCCCCGTGTAAACGCACCCTTGGTGGGCAAGGGCTTTTGGGGCAGGAAGTATGGCTGGTGCTTTTCACCCACTTGAAAACACTTTCTATCCCTAGTGACTGGCACTGCTTGGACTTGGCAGGGAGGGGCTTCGGGGGTTCCAGGCAGGGAGGCAGAAGGTGTCTGGGAGCCTAGGGACCATCACAAGTGGCAAATTATATGATCAGCCTCCTTTGGTTTCCACCCCTTGGGTCAGGGTGAAGAATCATGGGTTATCTCCTATTTTGCTTTATCTGAGCCACTGTCCCAACACAATAGAAGAGAATTACCAATTTAGTAATGTGCTTTTTAAAAGCTGGATATTCTTTTGATTTGATAAATAACCCACACTCCAGGCTTTACTCATTGTGACTTTTGTGACCAAATATAGATTCTTCAGGCCAGCCTCCTCCATAATATTTTGAAAATTTGAAATTGACCTGTTTTATCTTCCAGGTTCTTCTTCCCTGTTCCCCGGGTAGTTTCCACTGTCATTCATGACAACGCGGAATCCGGTAAGTAGATCTGCTCCCCAAGAGCGCAGGCAATGGTGAGGAGCAAAAGTGCCTGGTTACAGTTGGATGTCCAAGTTTCCTTGAGGGGATGGGTCCTGCACCATGGGCGACCTCAAGCTTTGTCAGCTGACTGCTGGGAAGAAGGTGTCCGAGTCCTGCAGTCTGAGCCCACTATCTACGTCTCACACTTCAGCAGGACTCTGTCTAGATCCAGATTCCAGTTTTCAACCACCCACCATGTTCTAGGCACTATACTATTCCAGCCATAGTTCCCAAACTTTATTTTATCTTATCATTTTAACATCACCACACCATCATCATCATTATCATCCTCATCCTCATGATCATTATCATCATTCCCACTTCACATATGAGGATCAGGAGGCTCAAAAGGTTAAATGGCTTATCCAAGGTCACACAACTAGTTAGTGGCAATAAGCAGATTTGAACTCAGAGCCTCTGTTTCACAGCATGTGCCTCCCCACCACGCTGCTGGTGGCTGGCGCGGCTGAGGAGCAATTGCACCCATCCCTGTGCGTCCTCCTGGTGCCCTTTTCCTGGCTGGGTTTCCTTAAGCCACCACGTCTGAGGTCTTCATCCAGGCTGTGTGTCCTGCTCCCTTAAGGAAATCGTTGAAAAAAAATGTCTAAGGAAAAGTCCCTGCCCGGTGACTTTTCCATTCCTGGGTGTGTACCCCAAAGAATTGAGAGCAGGTGTTCACACAGAAACTTGAATACGAGTGTTCACTGCAGCACAATCACAACAGCCAAAAGGTGGCAAGACCTCAAGTGTCCACCCGCTGACAAATGGATGAACAAAATGTGGCCTATCCACAGAGTGGAAGGTTATTTGGCTTTAAAAAGCAATGAAATCCTGTCACCTGCTACAACATGGATGAACCTCGAAAACATTATGCTGAGCGTAAGACACCAGACAAGAAAAGCCCACACATTGTATGATTGCATTTATATAAAACACCCAGAATAGCAAATCCGCAGCAGCAGAAAGCAGATTAATGGTCCCTCAGAGCTGGAGGCAGGGGATTTGGGAGTGGTGGTGGCTTAATGGGGACAAGGTTACCTTTATGGGGTGTTCAAAAGGCTCTAAACTGTAATGGTTGTACAACACGGTAATGTACTAAATGCCAGTAAATTTACACCATAAAATGGATAAAGTGGTAAATTTTATGTTTTGTTTATTTTACCACAATAAAAAAAGAAGTCATAACCCAGGCTCTCGTCAGTTTGGCATCTCCCTGAGTCAGTCACATGCTAAATTAAGGACTTAAGGAACAGTTACTTGAAGCATAATTCTCTCTCTGCTTGTGGGTTCCTCAGAGCTACCTGCCAAGAATCAACCTTCTCCCTGGCCTTCGCCTCTGGCACTCCCTACCCTAGACCCTAAATTCCAAATTACTCTGTAGCTGGAAATCCTCAGTCTTCTCAATATATTTTGCCTTGAGAAGATGGCTCATGAAAACATTGGCCACGTTTGAAAATTAACCGGCCTTTCAAAATGTGTCTTGATTTTCTTTCTACTGTACAATTTGGAAAACCTGATGGTTATAGGAGGGTGACAAAAAAAGAGTTTCTTCCTTTGTTTCCCAAAGCGGCACAACACTCGGCTGGAACGCCGGATAGCGGGCTCAACCAACCAGTGGCGTTTCCCCAAAGATGCCTTCTCCCAAGACCTGCTGGCGCTCTCCCAGCAGAGCAAGGATGTGAACGTAGACTTTGATGATGCGCTGAAGGACGTAGACAGGTAGGGAGATGGAAGGCTCATAGTAGGAACGCCCCTTTGGGGCGGATCGCATTTCTGGGCAGTGCCCCATGGTCGGGCCATTCTGATTGGGCAGGCGGGCTGTCAAGGCACACATTTGTGAGGAAGGCTGCCTTTGGGACCACCCTTTAGGGATGCACAGGGACACTGTGACCACTTCCTCTGAGAACGTCTGCGGGTGGTGATGAAAGTCCAGAGAGAGGCTGACCTTTTTTTCTTCTAGATTTTCCTTTGCATTGGGAACTTTGGACCCTAATGGGATTCTAAGTGTGTCAACTGATTTGTTGACAAACAAAACTTAGCTGGTCCTGGCTCAGTGTCTAAACCAGTCTCATGAATGCACATTTCCACCCAGTCGATTGGCTTCCGTTGGTGGGGAGCTGCCCCCCACCCCCAACTCCCAAGACATTCTGAGCAGGAGGTTTGGAGTATCACTTTTCCGTGTTACGAGTTCTTTCTTGCCTCTCCCGGGGACACAGAGCTGAACCCTACCGCAGAAGACACACTTCACTTCCCCAGTGCTTTAGACCTTACTTGATGTCACTACCCTCCTTAGGCTGGCAGCACCTGCCTTGTGAGCACACAGTCAAATCTACCTGAGCATGGCCTGTGCCCCAGGGCAGTGCCTGCCACAGAAGAGCTGCTTGCTCCACGTTTGCTCAGCAAGAAGCCAAATCTTCTCTTTCTAGACTCACTGGCCAGCCCTGCTCCAGTGCCCCTCCCACCCCCACAGGTGACTGGATCACATTTTTAAATACACCAAAATCCACCTGCGTTTGGGGTCTAAATTCTCTGACGAACCCAGCTTAGAAAAATTGAATGCTGTGCATCTCTATTCCTGGCATTGGCTATTGATAGCCTTAAGCGAGCTTGAATTTGTTTTGTATTTTGTTTGGTTAGAGCCTTGAAGAACTCTTAGGGTTTTGCCAAACCCTAAGAGGGAACTTATTCTGTTCCCTCGCACCAGGGCCAAGCTGGGCAGGGGGACATAGGCAAACTGACCCAGAAAACTGACAAAGGTCTGTGAGATGACTGAGCTAAGCTGGGACGGGGAGCGGGAGAGGGCGGAGGGTGGCCTGAGGGGTGGGGCACAGAACCCTGAAGATGATGGCAGTTGTGCTGGGCTTTAGAACTATAAAAAAGCAGCCTATCAGACAGGCTTAGAATCCCTTCTCCTCCATTTACTAGCTCTGTGACCTTTAGTCAGTGGCCTAACCTCTCTGAGCCTGTTTCCTCATTAGTGAAGAGGTGATAATAGCTTCTCCCTTGAAGAGTTGTCTTGGGGATGAAATCCAAAAATGCTTAGCACTGTTTCTGGCAAATAGCAGCTGTTCAATAAATAGAGAGCTATTATCTTTATAGCCTAAGCAGCAATTTTAGTGATTGATCCTAGTTATTTCATTTTGGAGTGTGTCATCCCTGTGCTCTGCCAGCCAACCAACCCATATTTCACTCTGCCTCTTAGCCCCTCCCCGCTATCAAAGCATCTTGCTGCAACACGACAAATTCTCCTCCCTGCTTGGCGATGCTGGGGGGGTCTGGCTCCAAAGGCAGGCTGAGGCAAGGAGGCGCCCTGGGCGGGCCCAATACCCCTGTGTCTGGCAGTCAGCTGGTCCAGGCTCATCTCAGCGGCAGGTCAGGCTCCGCGAGCCTCTCATCCTCCTCCTGAGACAGTGGGCTAACCTGGCCATGTCCTTGTCCTGGTGATGGCAAAAGGCAAGAGGGCAAGCTCATTGCACACGTGCTTTTTAAACCTTCAGCCACATCACATCCGCTAACATCCCATTAGTCAAGCCAAGTCACATGGCCAAACGCAATGTCAATGGGCGGGAAATCAAAGTGGAGTTTTGCAATTAACAAGCCCAATCCCTGTGGATGGTTTGCTGCAGGAAGTCCATATGTCCATAAGAAACATAGAATTTCCCCTTTTCCCCTCTTGTTTCTCCATCATCAGTTATTCCTGGGGAGCGCATGAGCCCCCATCCTAACAGCATATTCCCAACACCCTACATTGCCACTGCATCACAGGCCATTTAGTCCCAAACAATGAAGAGGACCACTCACGGGTGCCACTCAGCTCATTGACTTTTCCATTGGTCTTAAATTGAACGCAGTCCTTGCAACCCGCAGAGCCTGCATAACAAAGGTGCATCTGGGCAAGCAGCCATGACACCAGGTGAAGGCAGTGTGGCTGCCGCTGTTGTCTGGCGTCTCCCAGCTCAGCCGATGACAGTGATGTTTGTGAGGGCAGCTGAACTCATGAGCATTGCCCCATAGTTTCCAAAGGCCGTTGCTCCGTTTTGAGATCACAGTCTGAACTCCTGACCTTGGCCAGCTCTTCCCAGACGTGTGGCCCAAGCCACCAGGGGGTATTTAGGCTGGCTTGGGTGAGATCCAGTGCTCCTTTGGATAAACAACTCAAGCTCTCACTGCCTTCCTGAGGCTGAGTCACTTGTAGCCACCCTCTCCCTCGGAAAGGGCAGCACATGGTCGATATTACCCTGGACACAGGTTCCCCCACCCAAGCACTCTTCCAGGCACCCTGGCCCACAAGGCTGCTGGGATCACTGAAAACAGCACAACAAAGATGACACTGACCAGATGCGGTCATCAAATGTCCCTTGGATGTTTGGCTTTCTTGGGATGACTGTCTTCAAGCTGTGACTTTGTGACTCAAACTTTGTTTCATTTCCTTGCTCAGTGGGATGAATATAGTGTTTACGAAAAAGCATCTTATCTTTGCAAATCGTTCAATCAATGAACGGGCATGTTTTGAGCCCTTGAATGATAGCTGTGCTAGGGTTATAGCAGTAAATAAACCCTGAATCTGTCTCTGTGGAATGCAGAACCTGTTACAGGGGATGCATGAGTAAACAGGTGACCCCAAGACACTATAGAAGGAGTATTAATGGGGGTGAGGCCAGGGAGGGCCGCTATCCCAGCCTCCCCAGAGAAAGCAACGACTCACCTTATTTGGAAAGGTGAGTGGGAGGTCGTCAGTGAAAAGGTGAACAGGTGAGTACTCTGGGCAGAGGGAGCTGTGCGTTCAGGTGAATGTAAGCAAGAGACAGTGGGTGAGGCTATTGAGAAGGGCTAGAGTAGGGAGTGCAGACGGACTCAGCAACAGGAATAATCAGGAGCTTGTTAGCCATGCCAAGGAATTGGGGCTTTCCCCCAGGAGCCCTGGGGGGACACTGAAGGACCTCATCAAAAGAAAGTCCAGACCAAACTTGAATTTCAGATGGTTCCTCAGGCTGCAAGGTGGAAAGTGCATCAGAAGGGAGCACACCAGAGGCTGGTGATGGCCAGTGACTGGGGGGAGACATGGCGGCTGGGACGAAGGTCTTAGCAATAAGGGTGAAGAGGGATAGATGCATTCTGAAGATATTTTGTCAGATCTAGGCAAGTGAGCAGATGTGACAGCACTCAGTATGCTGGCCTGGGCAACTGGAAACTGGTAGAGCCATTTCCTGAAACAGGAAACCTTGGCAAACGGGCAGGGTGAGGTTTGGGGTAGGTTCTGAGTTTAGTTTTTGGACACATTGAGACCGGGGAGTGCATGACCCCTAAACAGAAGTATGCGTGAGTTAACTCCCCAGAAGTGCCCAGAACCCTTGCTTCTTTAGTAGATAATTATTGAGCACTTACTCTGTGCTAGACATTGTCGTGACACGTACCAAAAGAGCTGTCATTCAGGCGGCCACATGCAGCCTCAAATCTCCTCGCCAAGCCCTACCCACAGACTGGAAATGGGAATTAACGTTTTGATCCAGCCATCAGACCGAGATTATAGTTCATCAAGTCGGCAGACAAAGGGGTACCTGAGGAAACTGTCCCAAAGGGCAGGATAGGACAAGATTGATGAACTGGGCGCTTTAGGGCCGCTTACACTGGAGTGATACAGGTCGCAGTTGGAGAGAAAGATCAGTATTAACTCCTGGATGTTTTGTTTGTATTTTTCCTTGAGGTTATGCTTTTCAAAAATTCAGAAAAAAGTCCTCGAGAATTTGAAGAACGAGGCCATCCGAAGTAGGGATGCAGGTGAGCTCTTGTTACCCGTGGATTCCGTCAGAAAGTTTCTGACCTCAGGGTACCTGTGGTCTCTCTAATAGGAAACAGATCATAAGCCAGGCCACCAGTCTGTAAGTTGCAGCTCCTGCCCCCTGCACAGCATCTAACATGTAATAGGTGCCCATAAATATTTGTCGAATGCATGGTGAATGAATCCAGGCTGGGCAAACACATTTTCATTCCCTCCAGAAAAGTGAGCTCATGAGAACTCTGTTCCTTGGTGATGGGCCTTTTACTATGTTGCCCTCGGCTGTTGCCTTTCAGGTGGGTAATAATTAGGCACCAATAGCCCAGTAGCTTTCAGCAGGAAACTGGGCACTGATTTTGTTCCCCAGGGGATGTTTGGCAGTGTCTGGAGACTTTTTTGGCTGTCACAACCCAGGGGGCAGGGTGCTACAGGTATCTAGTGGGTAGAGTCCAGGGATTCTGCTCAACACCCTAAAGTGCAGACAGGTCCCACCACAGAAAATGATCAGGCCCAAAATGTCAACAGTGCCGAGACTGAGAAACACTATAATGGGGATGGCAAAGTGAGGCCCCAGGAAGTGTCCCAGCCAGCGTCCGTGCCCCATGAAGACTTTTCCAGTTCCCCAAGTTGGAGGGCAGCCCATGAGCCCCTGACGTCCTACAGCCCTTGGTCGGCCACCCTCTTGGAGGTTTATCCCTTCCTATGTTACCTTGCGAGTCTGCACATCTTATCCCCCTGGGAGCCAGTAAGCTCCCTGAGGCCCACACTGTCCTCTTTGTCACTTGGTTCCTGGAAGGCTACAGTTGATCTTGAACAGAGGAAGAGTGAATGCACCTTCAGGCAGAAGTGCTATTGAATCGTTTGCTCAGCGTTATTTTCTCTCCTCAGTGGTGATTCTCAAATGTCTGGGCTCAGAATGGGAGCTCCACCTGCCCCAGCTTTTTCAGTCCAGGACCTTGACCAAGCTTTACCTGGTGGCCGTGGGAGGGGGCACCACCAGCCCCACAAAGGATCTGGAGAAGCTTCTGCAAGGTACTTTCTCTCTGGCACCCAGGATGGAGCTCCAGACACCCTTCGGTTTGAGAGATTCCAGCTCAGCGTTTGGGACTGCAGTCACACTGGGAGTTAAGAGAAAGGCCCAGGATTTAACCTCAGTCTCCTTAGCCATAAAACAGGGAAAGTAGTTGTTCCTATGTTGTGTTGAAGACTAGAGGAGATGTAGAGGGGTGAGGGTCTAGAACAATGCCTGGCATGTAGTGAGAACTCAGTGAATGTCAGTTTTTATTCTCATAGTAACCCAATCTTGTCCAGCCACTAAGATGGAGGCTCTACCTACTTCTTTGAGAAGAGAAAACAGGTTGTGTCTAGTCCTATGGGCTCTCCGGAGGGAAGGTGTAGTTCTGACGTCTGTGGCTTGTTTGGCCCTAAGGATGCTGGTTAGAGGTTTACACATGTGCATCAATATTGTTTTTCTTTCCCTCTCTCTTTGCTTTTCTTGACACCACCTCACTCCAAAAAGTATTTAGGTCCCGTCTTTCTTTTTCTCCTTTTTCAATCCTAATAATCCCCAGTCTCCCCTTGTCTGTCCCGTAAATTCCTTTTTGAAACCTTGCCAATGTCTGCTCTGGGTAATATAGATTGGCATCGCCTCAGGACAACTTATAAGCAGGTGCCATGGAAGAGTCAAGGCCTCCTGAGCCAGCCAGTGTGCCAGTCAGGAAGGGATTACATTTCCAGAACACGGCAGCAACGCCCTGTTATCCCAGAGCCAGACAGCCTGCCGGAGCCCCCAGTCACTGTCCTGCCCTGAGCCTGGAGCGAGGGCCCAGCTGTCTGCCGGCACCTTCCGGGCCACAGGGCCTCTGGCTCAGCCCTTCCAAGCTGAGCTGCGAGCTGAGAGCAGGCTGTGGCTTTCCCCACGGAACCGAAGCAACCTGCCCGCTTACTCCTGATCTTTGCTCTTCTAAAGAGATCGTCCCGGGGCCTTCAAGAGCAGGACTGAGCTCTTCCTCCCATATCCTCTGTGCCCAGGTCAGAGGTCTCACTAGGCAACCAATGAAAGGCCCTGGGGACCCAGACAATGAGTACATTGAAAAGCAAGAGGCTTTGGAAGGGGAAACGGAGCTATCATTAACATCAGGGTCTTTATCGAGTCTCAAATGGCCTCCCTGAAAAGACAGGATTTGGTTTTGCTAAGACAGCCCCTCCAAACCAAGCCCCTGCTAGAGGCTGGGCTCAGCCGGGAGGACATCCGTGTAGGTACAGACATGAAACCCTAGTGCCCGGGCTGTCACGCCTGTCCAGGGTCCCCCCTACCGGCATTGCCAACTGCACCAGGCCCTGGGGCTCGTGTCGCCATGATTTTCAATGGGTACAGTCACAGCCTTCATGTTCCTTGCAGTGGTGGGTGTTGGGGAGATGCAGCCGCCTCGATTGGCCCTGTGCTGGTCACACAGGTGTCCCAGCTGCTCATTTGCATTCCACCAACAGTCCGGGGTCATCTGTGGTTCAGCAGGTTCTCTAGGAGAACCCTCTAAGAAGGAGTGTTCTTTTACTAAAAATGCACCACTTTGGTTTCAGAGCACCTCTGAAACATGGGATCTCATTGTCACATTCCTATCAGGTTTTGAAATTTTACTTAAAATGGAGGGAGTGTTGAACTTCTGTCTTCCACTTACTCTGGCCCCGCTGACAATAGTCCTTCCTTCCTTCCTCAAATGTTGAGTGCTTAACTGATGCCAGGCATTGTGCTAGGAATTTAATCACCCACCGTGATGATAAAGTGTGACAAATAACACTGTACATAATGATACCAACTCCCACCTCCTGAGTGCCTACTGTGTGTCAGGCATGCAACCGGCGTCATCTCCTTTACTGCCCTCAGTGGGGGTGAATGAGAGAATGGAGCCTGTGGATGGGAGGCTGTGCAGAAATCCAGGAGAGGAAAATTATCCAGAGCCAGGAGCAAGGCCCTGCACTTAGTAGGTGTTCAACAAGTATTTGCCGAGTGACAGCCTGAACAGAGCCAGGGGCCGTGAGTGTGGTGAGCAGAAGGCTCGGTGGCCTTGCTGCCTGAGGAAAATGGACCTTTGTTCTCTCTCTCGTTTTCTTCAGGCTTTGTAGTTCTGAAGTGTGACATACTTTTTGGCTCCTGACTCATGTCATTTTTCATTACCTAGAACCTTGAGCTCACTAGGCTTTGGGACGTTAGTGATGGAATCTGTTTGTTCCATTCATTCAGCTGGTGTTTACCCAGCACTGTGTGTGCCAGGCTGTGTCGGATCCTGGGCATGGAGTGGCACGTAAACCATTCAGTGTGACTGCCCAACAGATAATAAACCAACAGATGATGTAATAGCAGGTGGCTGGTCCAGGAGGAAAAATAAAGCCTGTTCGGGGGGGTGGGAGTGCTACCTTACACATGGGGTCAGGTGGGCCCCTGACGACGGAGGGGACAAACCACGAGGAGGCAGTTTGGGCGCCTAGTGAGCCAGAGACTAGTGGGAGGGTCTTGGGGACACTGGAGGGGCTTTGGCTTTGGTCCAAGAGTGGGGGACGCCACTGGAGACCTGAGCGTAGTGTGTGTTATAACTCACATTTTAGAATGACTCTGAGTGGGTGGGGAGGATGGCGGTGGATTGGGCTGTCCCTTTCCCTCCTCCTGGAAGCCTTTGGTGGTGAGGGGCCTCTGTTTGCAGACCTGAGGGGCCAAGTTTTAAGAGCCATGGGGTGGGTGCCTCAGTCCCACATTTGTTCTGCAGCAGGGGGTCGTTTTGCTCCCACCTCGAGGAGGTCTGAGCCAACGCTCGAAGGGCGCAGAGAAATCGAGGCCCAGCCCTTGACCTCAAACTGCTCACGGCCTCATGGAAGAAAGGGGGAGCAAAGGGAAGGGAGATGGGGTGAGGAGGCTGGTAATAAATATTTAAAACCAGTGTGAGCGTCTACTTCCCAGTTTTGACCATCACAGTGGCTTCGTAAGGTCACTGGGGAAAGGGCCGAGGGGCAGATGGGGACTCTCTGTACCATTTTTGCAACTTCTTGGAAGTCTTAAAGTATTTCAAAATAAATAATCATTTCAAAAATGCATCTACTAAACAACCAAGCAAACAGACACAAACCAAGTACAGTGAGGTTCATGCCAAGATCAAGGCTGTGCAAAGGGTGGTGGCGCCTGACCCTGTACCCTGCACTGTTCACTGTGGCCGTCACATCTGAATATCCTTATTTCATTATCTTCTCTAGTGCCAGCTCCTAGGAAGGTCAAAGAAAAACCCCCCATAAAGAAGATGGTCATTTCCTTGAAGATCAATGACTCCTTGGTCACCAAATGTGGTAACGTAACGTACGCTTGTCTTCATTTTCTGAGACTGTCGCTGAACAAATAGCCCTCCCAGATTTTAAAAACAAACAAGGAGACCTGACAAACGTTCAGTGCTTCCCTCTTACGAATAGCTTCGTGCAAAGAGAGGAGGGGAAAGAAGGCTGGGGCAGCTTGGGAAATGAAGAGGGTAAAATGCTGCTACAGAGAGGAGCTGGTCCTTGGGAGAGGCATGAGGGGCGCAGAGGAGGGAGGACGTAGCAGGCTTCTCAGAGAGACCCAGGGAAAACATACCTGTCCTTCAGGGGGCACTCAGCCCCGGGGTGCTCTCAGGCCCACCCTTGCCCCGCCATAGCACTTCCCACCAAGGCTGGCTTCCAGCAGCAGAAGCCTCCCTCAGGGGCTTCCCTTGGGCTTCCCGCTCCCCATCCCATCCTGGCCACGCAGAAACAGACTTCCGTTAGTGCAACAAGCATGCTGTCACGTGCTGCCACCATCTATGAGTCGGTGGGTCGGAAAATCAGCCCCGGAAGCCCTGGCTGGGCCAGCTGTCCTCGAAGTGTGTTGGTCCATACCTCAGCACCATGTGGGATCAGGCAGAGCTGGGACTAAGCCGAGTCCCTCTGACCCTACTCACAGGACTGCAATTCCTAAACGGCCAAATTATCCTGGCCCCTCCCAGGAGTTCTTGTGGCCTTAACCTTCTTGCAGACCCCAGATTCCGAGGAAAATCTGCTGTAATTTCCATGTCATCTCCAGAGAAACAGCTGTACCTACATGCCCACCGCATTCTGCACGTATTCGGGTGGTCACCTCCCAGCACAGGCCATGGACCCCAGGTTAGGGGAGAACCCCTGAGGCACAGACCCTGACGACGGGCTCACAGGAGTATTCTTTCAGCAGGAGCCCAGTTTCTTCAGCTTCATCCTCAATTCCTTTTGGGAGGCAGGGAGCCCAGGCAGTATCTGCACCCAAGTCAGAGCGGGTGCATTTTCTCTAATGGCATCTCGCTGCCCAGCTAGTGGACACTGGAGCATCTAGCACAGAGGGCACCTGTGAGTGAGGGGTGCGGGGTGCGGAGCCCCACACTGACGGCTCTCTCTCTCTCTCTCTCTCTCTCTCTCTCTCTCTCTCTCTCTCTCTCGGATGCTGCCTCCCCAGCCTTCGCAACGGCCCTGAAGAACCTCTACTCGAGCCAGGTGGAGATGGACTTGGACGACATGCCGGGCGTGCTGGCCTCTGCTTACATTCTCCAGTTCAACAGCCTGTTTCAAAGGTAAGGGGATGGGGTGAGATGCCCACCAAGGCCAGCCCTGGGAGAAATCAGAAAAGGGTCTCCTGACCCATTTCATGGAACACTCCTCTTCCGGAGGCCAGGACATATGGGGTCTCTGCATAGAGAGCCACTTTGAGTCTGAGACACTATTTCACACTAACATGTTATCAGCTCACCACTGAGCCGTCTGTAGCAATATGCTTGATTTAACAATGATTCTTGACTCACAAGAATGAAATGCAAAGAGAGGGGATTTGACACCCAGGAGATATTTTTCGGGTATGCAAAGGGACATCCCAGTAGCACTCAAACCATGCTTACCAATCTCACCTGTACTCATCTTTGGCTAAAACATCTCTCTCTGTGTAGTACACACACACAAACTGGCCATGTGAAGACAGGCTGAGGTTTCCTGCCACTGTCAGGGCACATTTTTTCCCACTCATTTCTGACAAAGCCTTGTTTTTTCTTGTAAATAATGTTTCTATTTTTACAAATGTCACATATGGTCATTGCAGATCTTACAGGAGAGAGAAAAATGCAAAGGTCAAGGTCAAAATAGCTCATCAATCTGACTGCCTGCCCGTTTGGGGGCACAGCCTTTCTCCTGGGCCTTCAGATTCCACTGGCCCACCTCAGGGAGGGTCCTCCAGCCAAATGTCCATACCCCTCAGACGAGGCTCCGTCCCCGGGAAAGGGCTCTGCCACTGTCCTGGTGTTGAATGAGGACCTCTGGGGCTGCCCGCCTCTCTAAAAGCAGCCTGGGGTCCTCGGAAGCAGCACTTCTGTCTCTGCAGGTGTGTGACCATGATGATGACGGGACTCATGCCAGACAACATCAGTAACTTCTACCTGACCAGCTGCAAGGTGAGAATAACCTGGACAGGGCATGTGGCCCCTGGGGGACCCAGAAGAGCACCCAAACTCTGGAGTTTCACTGCCCAGGTCCAGCTCCAAAAAGCCTACCTGGAGGCACTAACTGAAGGGTGCCAACACTTTATTTTGCCAAGTGAGCAATTTTGAAAAACCACTTTATTTCTAAAAGTACATTTTAACAACCCCAATAGTTGAAAAGCTTTGGTCTGGGGGGAGGGGGGAACAGCACAGTCTTGCCCACCAGAACAGCAGGGCATTGCTGGAGTCGAGTGAAATTTGTCCCCCTGGCATCAGTCAGCATGTCAGTGATGGGATGTAATCTAACTCTGAGAAAACTGAGACCCAAGTTGGGGAGCAAGCAGGCCAGGGTGACCCAGCGTCTGAGTGGTTGTGCTGAGTCTGAACCATAGGCCTCCTGATTCTAGCCTCCCCCTGTGAGGCCACCATTGACCTGGATGGACACTCATAGTCAAAGAGACACTTTTTGTTGTTGTTGTTTTAAAGATTTTATTGGGGAATTGGGGGAGGGGAACAGCTAAGTTGTTGTCCTTCAATCCTAGCTGTGGAGGGCGCAGCTAACTCAGCTCCAAGTCCAGTTGTCATCCAGCCCCTCCCCACCCCCCACCTCCGCCTTTGGCAGCTCAGTGGCAGCTCAGCTCAGGCACAACTCACTGGCCCATATGGAAATCAAACCGGAGACCCTGTTGTTAGAGCTCGCGCTCTTAACCAACTGAGTCACTCGGCCGGCCTGAAAGAGACACATTTGACTGTGGTGTTCGGTTCATGCACCATCAACATGTCATGGTGCTATTCTGATAGCATCTAAGGATGTTTTAAATGCCTATTTTGTCAAAGACAACCCATTGTCCTCACCGTGGCTCCACTGGTCATTGGAAAGTCACTCGGCAGGTGGAGTCTTTGCATTCCAATCAGCATTTCTCAGCTACTATTTGGCTTGGTAGCCCCAAGGACTTGCAAAGTGTCCTAAGACCCTTCCAAGGTCTCTGGCCCCAGGAGATTTATTCCACTCTTCCTGGACTTCCATTTTGGGGGATGTGCCCACTACTAGCCTCAGAACTCCACGTGGGGTGCACCCCCCGGGACATCCCTCCCGTGATCAGTCACTGACTTTAGTCCATAGATTTTAGCGTGGGGTTTGCACCAGGCTCTGCCACTTACTTGTGCAACCACAGGCAACGGCAGGAATCGTCTTGGAGCCTCGTTTTCCCCATCAGGAAAATAGAGATAATAATGAACCAACATCGCAGGGTTGCACTGAGGAATGATTTAAATCAACCTAATGCGTGCCTTGAGCATAACAAAATGTTATCTGCTGCAGTTTATGTATTTTGAAGACAAGGTTCGAACACGTCTGCAGGGTGACACTCCTGAGAGCATGCTTGTAGTCTCACTGCGGTCCAGCAGAGGGCGCTGAGAGTTCAGGGATTCCTTTATCAATTGTCTTTTCTTGCCTTGTCAGTACCAGGCAGGGCAGCTCACCACCGCCTGCGAGAAGTGGCTGGAAATGAACTTGGTCCCCCTGATGGGGACGCAGACCCACCTCCGCAAAATCCCAGAGGAGCTACTCCACAAAGTGCTGAAGTCCCCCAGGTCAGAGCTGGTTCCAGGGTGTGGATGTGTGTTTTGTGCTGCGGGGTGGACCAGGTTGCTGACTCTGGGTGGGCCTCGGGGAGCAGGGCTGGTGTGGATAAGGGAGGCACTCCAGCGGGGGCAGCACCCACACCCCTGCTGGACATGCCCAGTGTACGGCGTTTCCTCCACCCCAAACTTCCTGCCCTCTTGGACAGCTAGGCCTGGAGTGGGGGGCCAAAGGGGGGGCACTGTGCATGGGGATGGGAAAGGGGCACACTTCATGCCATTCATCTGGGTAAGAGCCTGCTGGGCGCCCACTATCTCATTAACCACCTGGCAATTAATTAAATAATTGCCTAAATAATTTTTTTTTAAATCCTGCCAACATGAATACATATGCCTTGTGGGAAATTTGGGAAACAGGGAAAAGCAGAAAAAGGAACGAGAAAAGCTCTCGTCCTAAATCAGTTTCTATCTCCAGCCCTAACTCTTCTCCTGAACAGCTCTGGACACAGACCTTCAACTGTCTGTGTGGCCTCTCTGACAATTAAGGCTAAGCCCCAGCCCTATGACTGCCCCCCACTCCCAGTATTCCTTGGCCAGCTGCCCAAGTTAGCACCTTGGGAGTCCTCTGGACAGCACTTGGTCCTCACTGCTGGAGTGCAGCGCGTTCTACTTCCAGACCTTTCTCCACGGGCTCCAGCTAGAGGCCAAACCTCCATGTCTGTCATCTGGGCCGCTACAGGGACCGCTCGCTCAGGGTCTTGCGTTTGCTCTTGACCATCTTCCAATCATGTCTCCAGCCAAAGAGCCTTGGCGCTGCCAGTCTGGCATCTCTTCCTCCATTTCACACACCTTGGGGCAGCCAGAGGGGTCTTCCCAAGACCGCTGCCCTGCTGAGCTCCTTGCAGCCCGGAGGGCCTCTGTGCGCTCGCCCCTTCCCGCCTGAAACGCCTGGCCCTGGCCGGCTGGCTCCTTCTCGTCCTTTGAGTAACTCACGGAAACCTCCCCAATGCTTAGCCTCTTAGGGTAGTTCCAATGTTTTACAAAAAAATAGCACCTTGGTGACATTAAATTCGGTTCCTAGAAGCAAAATAACTAAGTCAAAAGGAATTTATTTGTTTTTATTAGTGTTTTAAGAAATATTTTACTTGAAACTAATTTCAAACAAATAAAAATTACAGAAATAGTACAAAGAATATCTATACACCTTTTTTACCCTGCTTTGTTCAATTTCTGCCCTGTTTGCTTTATCATTTGCATCTGTGTGTGTATCTACATACACACTTTTTTTCTCCTGAACCCTCCGAGGGCAAGTGGCATACACCATGTTCCCTTACCCCTAAATGCTTCAGTGTTTATTTCCCAATAAAAATAATATTTTAAAATATAGTCACAAAGCAGTTAATCAGCTTCAGGAAATTGAACATTGATGTAATACCATAACATCATTAACCCGATATCGTCCTTTATAGCATTTTTCCCCCCTTCAATACAGGCTCCAATTTAGGGTCACGTATTGCCTTTCTCTGCCATGTCTCTTAGGGACTCTTTAAAAGATTTTTGATACCCACTGCCAAGTTATACCAAAATTATATTCCCTTTGGGAGGGTTTCAAAGTGAAAACTAAATTAATTCTACTAAAAATTTGAGTGGTATGTTAGAAAGTAAGTGTTTACTCATGCTTATGTGGTGGAAAGCATCCCAATTTCAGAAATTAGATCTGGAAAGACTTGTTCCTCTGTTGGTTTGAGTTTACCAAGCAGCTTGCGGTGCCCTCACCATACAGAGAAACGAAGTCTGTAGGAGAGTGTTCTGGGGTCGCGGGAAGCTGTAGTATTTAAGAAAACCTCGGGAGCCCAGGTCCAGGAGCAGCCCAGGGCGCTGGGTGGGCTGCCAGGGCCGTTCCACCCTGCTTCTGCTGCTAGTCCCCTTCAAGCACACTCTCCCACCCTCCAGAGGCACAAAGGTTACACAACTGGAGAAGAGAAGATAAACATGGCATCCCTTAGACTTTGCGTAACACTGCCCCTCCCTTGGAAAGACTGAGCTGCCCCACCCTGGTAGCATTTCACCAAGAAAGGGGAAAAAATAATCTGACCACAACCAGAGCATTGGTGATGGCAGAGGCTTTAGAAAACATACGCTGGGCAGGAAAAGAAATCAAGAACATTGTGTCAAACGTCTAGACTCCCCGTTTGGGGAAACATGACTGATGTGGAAACTGGTCCAGCTCCCCCAGCCCCTCCCCAGGAGCTGTCTGCACAGACCGTCCAGGGCTCTCCGGGTGTAAGGAGGGAAGATCCTTGCTTGGATTGGGCACGTCGTCAGCCCATGTGCCCCGGAGTGACCAGTTCAACAGCTCCCTGACTCACGTCTTCCAAAGTGTTCTCTCCTCGCCCAGTTGATGTCCAGGGGCCACCTGCTTTCAAGCTGGAGGGAAGTAGGAAGCAGAGGGTGCAGGCGGAGTGGGCTCAGGCCACACTCAGTGCCTGGTAAGAGCGTTAGAAATGGACCCAGGCCTGAGCGCCGTGGCTCATCCGTGAGTCAGAACGATCCTTGGGGCAAGTTAACTTTTACCGACCACTTCTGGGTATGTGCTATGCTATGCACCCTGTCCCTGTGAGTCCCCACAACCCCATGAAGTAGGTAAAACTATTGTCCGTAAGATAAGAGGGACAATGAAGGACTGGGCTCCGGCCCGGGCTCCCGCCCTCATCGATGGGGCACCTCTTCGCTGGTTGCGAAGGCCAGTATTTCCCAGAAGCCAGAGCTCAACCAGAACTCAGTCAGAACTGGGGTGTCCCGAGAAGTCACGTGGCCCCAGAGCGGCTGTGTGGAAACGCCATGGCCCCCCAGGTCAGGGATGGAGTGTCCGTCTGCCTACTTAGCATAGATGGCGGCCCGCCCCCCAGCTTGTGGCTGGGGCATGTGGGTCTCTAAGCCACGTTGAACAACATCCGTCAGCAGACGCTTGGGCTTCTGTGCCATTCACCTTCCCTTCTGAAGTCCCTTTGATCTCACCTTCCTCTGGGTTTTGCTTTCCAACTTGTAAACAGCCTGAGGTAACATACACGCCATTTTCCTGTCCTCCTGGCCCCTGGATTTCATTTATTTGCCCGGGCCTTTGGTTTTCAGTCAACTTTCTTCTTAGAGGTCGCCACTAGGTTACCCTGTTCTAACTCACATATTATGAAAGCCTCCTTCCAAGTTCTGTTTTTCTGGAAGCCGAGCTCCTTGTAGACCGAGGAGGGTGGAGAACACAGAGGACTAGCTGCTTCCTATCCTGCACGACAGGCTGCCTTGCAACCAGAGGGGACTGTGTCCCTCTGTGTGTCCACCTCTCCTGCCTATGACATAAGGCACCTCAAGGGCTCGGGAATTCCCTGAGAAAAGCCACCCCTGTTTTCCATGACATGCCTGTCCCACGGCTTGTCCGGCAGCATCTGAAACACCACAGCTATTCCTCAGATGCAATAATTCCTGAAGCTGTTGCCTCCCTGGCTGATAACAACACCTACCACTTATTAGGCGCTTGTGGTATACAACATACTCTGAGTGGGTCCGAGTCTAATTCCTACAGCAACCCAGGGTGGGGGGCGGTCTGGTACCTGCGTTTTGACCTGTGCAATGGAGATGACAGGAAATGAAGGATTGGCCCACACTCCCCACAGGCAGCGTGACAGTTGGGATTTGAATCCAGGTCCGAGTGGTCTCACAACCCATGCTCGTTACCAGCCCACTGGTGCACTCTGCTCCTTTCTTCCTGATTGATGGTCAGGATCAATAAGGATATTGATGTTCATGTTTTTTTTATTGGAAAAAATTTACAAAGGTAGGAGGATAATAGAAAACCCAGCTGGACCCACATCCAAAATGAACAAATGATAACATTTTGTCATAAGTGAAGCAATGAAGCATCACCAATAAAGCAAAAGTCACCTGTGTCCCCTCCCAGCCCTATTCTCCTTCCTTCTTCCTGGCCTCCCTCCCACTCTCACAGATTTCCGTGAACCCATCCATGTGATTGTATTCTTACTACACGTGAGTCCGTAAATAATGTGTCATATTGGTTTGCAAAGGTTTAAACTTCAGATAAAAGTTCTCGCAATGATTGTGATGGTCTCCAACTTATCTATGCAGTAACATCGTGCGATGTGTTCTCTCCATGTTGATACTTACATATCTAATTAGAATTTTAATTGAATTGTCCTACAGGGTCCCAGTGAATGAATAGGCAGCAATTGCTTTATGCCCTTCCTAATGGCCTTTTGTTTTATTTTGTTTAGGTTTTCATTTTTGACTATGACAAGTCAGTGCTGCCCCGAGTGTCCTTATTCATGTTTTCTTGTTCATGGCTTCCTCTGTGGTCTGTATTCAAAAGGGAGCCTTTGTTATTCATAGTTTTCTCAAAAAAAAAAAGAAAAGAAAAGAAAGAGAGAGAGAGAGAGAGAGAGAGAGAGAGGATAGTGAGTTGGTAAAAAGCATTTTTTTCTTTTAAAGGACAAACACCAGTTCCATCCCAAGGGCGCCTAGCAAGCACTGTAAACGCACTTAGAACAACGGCCCGACGTTCACCTGTTGGAGGGCGGTTTGGGGGTCTCTGAGTTCCACCTTGATTAAGGTCATCAGAGCTCTTAGGCAGATGAAAACGTGTTTGAATGTACTCAGGGTTGTTATTTCGTGCACAAACTAATATGTTAGAGCAGGGGTCGGCACACTGCGGCTCGCGAGCCACACGTGGCTCTTTAGTTTACGTACATGTGGCTCTGAAGTCAAATTAAAAATGAAAATAAGGGCCGGCTGAGTGGCTCAGTTGGTTAAGAGCTTGCTCAAGAGTTTGAGCTCTGAGCAACAGGGTCCCTGGTTTGATTCACGGCCCAAGCTGAGCAGCTGCTGAGCTGCCAACAGGTGGCAGGATGGCTCAGCTAAAAAAAAAAAAAGAGCTATCACAGTTTCCTTTATAAAATTTTTAAAGGACATTATTCACATAATGGTGATTTCATTTGTTTTATGGCTCTCTAATAATTTTTAAATTGTTGTGAGGGACAGGATTGGCTCTTTTGTCTCAAAAGTTTGCCGGCCCCTGTGTTAGAGAATTAATACTTGGCCTAAAAACAAATGGCTTTATTACAACAATAACCCTTCATCATAAAAGTAAAACCAGGGTCCTGATTCATGATGTCCCCAGTTACCACCAGCCCGCCCCCCCGCCTCCCACCTTGTTGCTCCTAGCCCCTCTTTGGTAAGGTCTCAAAGAACCTTCTAGGCTTGGGGACTTCAAACATGATTTCTGCCCCAGAGGTCACCTTGCTCTCCATCCCAGCAGTGGTTGAAGTCCTGGCAGAGTTCTTTGTGGGGACATCATACCAAGCACCTTAGCCTACAACATCTCCCCCTCTGCCTCACCATTATCGCCCAGACAGTGACAATTTTGGTCCTGTCTGGCCAGAGTCAAAGCCCATGCATCTGTAGGTGGCCAAAAAACAAGAGGAAAGGGACCGTTCTGCCGTATCCAGAAATAGCGTGAGTGGTGGGTGGGTGGCATTTCCACTGCCCTTTAGAGTCACACTTTAGCTTGGGTTTCCACCCACCATGACCACTTAAGTGACGGGCGAAGAGGCTGTGATATATTTTGAAGCCAGGGTGCCATCTCCATGGTCAGAGATGGAAAATACCAATGGGTTTCAGAAACACTTGTTATCTAAGGTTAGATGATAAAAAGTCTTATTATCTTAGATAAGAAGTCTCCAGAGGCTGTTAGAGAAGCTGTCTGGGAAATGTCCCTACTTTATGGAGCTGACACAGAGAGCCACAGCTGCTCCCCCTCACCCCTCGTTTCTTGATGAGAAGCCTCAGGCTGCTGCAGGTGAAATGTGGGCCAGGACCCAGCCCTGCCGTTCGCTGAGCATGTTAGCATGTGCCAGGCACTGTGCTAAGCAACCTGTATGTGCGTGGTCAGCTCAAGAATGGTCCCCAAAGATGTCCCCATCCTAACTCCCAGAACCTGTGAATATGTTTGGTTGCATGGCAAAGGGGAATTAAGGTTGCAGATGAAACTAAGGTTGCTAATTGGATAACCTCCAGATGGGGAGGTGATCCTGGATTATCAGGTGGATCCAATGTAATCACAAGGGTCCTTAAATGTGGAAGAGGGAGGGGAAGAGTCAGAACCACAGAGAGCTTTGAAGATGCTATGCTGCTGACTTGAAGATGGAGGAAGGGGCCATGAGCCAGGGATTGCAGGCGTCCTATACAAGCTGGAAAAGGCAAGGAGATGATTCACTGTATGAGCCTCCTGGGGGAATGCAGCCCTGTCCACACCTAGATCTTAGCCCAGTAAGCTCCATTTTGTGCTTCTGACCTCCAGAACTATAAGACAATAATTCGTGTATGTTTAAGCCGCTGGGTTCATGACAATTTGTTATAGCTGCAATAGGAGACTCATGCAACATGTCACCTCATGTCACCTTCACCACTGTCCTCGGAGGAGCTGCTGTCATCACTATTCCATAGATGAGGGAGTGGCAGCTGCACGGCCGCTAAGCAAGCTGTGGGAGGGTCCACAGACAGTTGGAGGCAGAACTGACTAATGCGAGGTTTGACTCCAGAACCCTGTGACCTTGGATAAGTCATTCATGTTTCAGGCCTCAATCAGGGCTGGGACTAGAATGTGACAAGAGAGGCCCTCACCTCGGGGGCAAAATTTAAGGAGGCACCAAAAGACCTTAGTCATTAAGATGAAGTATGTTTTAGTGCAATATTTTAAAATAAAGATGTGAAAAACCATGATGAACAAAATGTTATACTTTTAAATAAACACAGGATCACTCTCAGTTTCCACATCTGTAAAAGTAAGGACTATCCCAACTTTGCAGGGTTGTTTGTACAATGAAATCAAGGAAACAGTTGAAAACATCTCAGTAAGCCTGTCTCCTAGTAAAAGCTCATGAAATGATGGCCGTTGCTTTCTGGCAGCACGGTGGGTGGGTACAAAGCACAGGCTCCAGCATGAGGCAGCTGGGGTTCAAGTCCCAGCTTTGCCAAGTGACCTTGAGCAAGTCACTTTACATCTCTTTGTCTGACACTCCCTATAGACTCACGAGTGATATTGCCTCATTCCTAAACTCACTTTTGATTTTTTGGTGTTTTTTTTTTTTTTTACAATAGTGTAGTCTTTTGCTACTCCTAAACTGTCCTCTCAATCTTTTATTTTGACCAGGTTGTTTACTTTTAGTGAATTTCACCTTCTGAAAACATTACTTTTGTGGGTCTACTTGCAACTAAACCACAGAATTCAGACGATTCCGGAATATGAAACCGTGATGACTTTTTTTAACAGGTAACTTAGTGTTGATGGATGAAATGTACATACACTGTATTTCTGCTTGTAATATAGGGGTGGGCAGGGGAAGCATCAGTGATATTATTTTCATAGCATCACTCAGAGTGCATAAAATGCAATTTTCTTTATGGGGCCTAAGATCGTGGGATACCTTTGACCCACTTGATTCCTTGAAGAAGTGAATAATATGCAGGTGTTATGTGATAGACATGTGTTTCTGAGAGCTTGTTCTGTGTCCAGGAAAAGATGTGATGGTACATGTACTTTTTTTTTTTTAATTGGGGAACAGTGTGGTTTTCCAGGACCATCAGCTCCAAGTCAAGTAGTTGTTTCAATCTAGTTGTGGAAGGTACATCTCAGTGGCCCATGTGAGGATCAAACCAGCAACCTTGGTGTTATGAGCATTGCACGCTAACCAACTGAGTTAACCTGCCACCCATAAATGCACTCCTTTCATTCAGGAAAATTACCATACTACACTGACCTTAAAAACTTCATATTTAAAATGTTCCTAAGTCACACCAGGTCATTCACATTGATATTTCACTAGATGGCATATAAAATTCTGAATTTTCTGGACCAATGAAAAAGCATTTGAATGTACAAATGTTTCATCAGCTTAATCTAGTTTCTTATACTCTCTAAACTTATAAATTCTAAAAGTTGCATATTTCAACATTTAAGTGAAAAATAACACAGTAGAATAATGGGCACAATTTAATTATGCTTACTAAATGCAGTCATTCTGACAAAGCACTTTCTATTTGTAACCTCATTTAATCTGCATGCTACTCAGGGGCTGGTTTTATTATTCCCGCTTTCCAGATGAAGGAACTGAGGTAGAGATGAAATATCTTGTCAGAGGTCATGTGAGTGATAAAGGGTGGAGCCTGACTTGAACCCAGACCCGCCTACTCCCAAGATGCTTTGCTGCCAATTCCTAGGACAGCGGATAGGAGTCCTGTCTGGTGCCATCCCAGCTGGTTCAGTAGTAGCTCCCTGAGCACGGTGTTCAGAAAGATCCTGGGGGGCTGCCTCTAGATTCAGCGTTGTTAGCGAATTACTTGTAGCATTGGCTAGCAGTGCATTTCTTCTCCTCCCTGTGTCCCCCCTCTCCGCCCTTTGCTTGTGAGTGCTTTCTGTCTATTCAAGCAAGAGCACTCCCATTCATGATGTCAGCTGTGGCAACATGGGGCTGGGGAACAGGGTGGGGGTGAGGGTGAAAGCGATCGTTTCTGGGCTCCATTTTGTATCTCCTGAGCCGCTATTAAAACTGTGTGAAATATGCTCACATCATCCAAATTGGCTGCGGAGTGTGGTGACCCTGTAGCCAAAGACAGTCCCAGGTGGCTCTCAGAAGACGTGCCCTAGACAGGAAGTAACTGGTGGCATTACCTTCATTGTCCGGTTTATGCTTCTGTCCCTCATGTCAGCAAGAATGGGGCCTTCCAAGCATGATACGGCGTGTGCAAGGAAACCAAGAGGCTCCGTTTATTTTGCACGTGTGAGCTTAGCAGATAAACACATCTTCCACGTATTTATTGGCATGTTGGCCTGAGTAAGCCAAGTTTCATTTGCATTGTTCAGAATTGTTTGCATTTTGCTAGAACATCTGTGCACTGCTTTAGCTAAAGAGCCCCTTTTTCAGTCTCGTTATTTGGGGAAAGCGGTATTTAGTGCCAGAGTGATATGCACTTTACTTAGTTTCTATATAATTTGCTTTGAACCCAAGTGTTTTAATCCACCCCCCCCTACACTTTTAATAACCCAAGAGACACTTTTTCCAATGAGTCATGCACACCAGGAAAAATTGCCATTTGGCACCAGGTTCGCTTACGTACTGGAAACGTCTTAGAACCAGGAGATAGGAAATGAGCTAGGATGTGGGTGATTCATTTGAACTGTGTTTTTAATGTGAGAGAAACAAGCGGGAATGAGAGTGCTCAAGCGTGCAGCCCCCTCCACTGAAAGTGGACCTGGGCTGGGTCTCAAAGGCTCCCCTCACACATGGGTATTTCTCACCATCATAGCTTCTCCATTTCCCTTGAACCTACATCAATTCCAGTTTGACCCCAAACCTCATCCCGCCACACGGCGCTTCCCCAACACCCCTGATCCTGCTCAGTTTTCCTTGTTGGGAACCATTTGCATGTTTGCAAATCATCTCACAGTCCCAACCTAAGCAATTCTGACAATATCTTCTACCAGGTCCCCACATTCAAGGACCACGGTGCAGGAGTGACCCCTCACAGCCTGCGAGCCAGCCCTGGTTCCCTTCCTCCTCCCTTCCTCCAGCAAGCTTTGTGTACCCCGGGAAAAAAGATGGGACCGTCCAGGCCTCAGACACTGCTGCCTCTGCAGTCGTCCAGGCTCACTCCCAATTTTGAGGACCACGCGGCTCATTTTTAGGATCGTGGGTGGCCCTGCCCAGCTCACCTATCTGCTCCAGAACGGTGGTCCCTATAAGGTGCACCCTTGTCAGTGGCCTCCACCTCCCAAACGATGGGCCTGAGTCCCCAGGCTCCCTAGCCTAAGGAACAGCATCGCTCCTTCATCGCTTGGCCTCCCCTTCTCAGCCTCTCTGACCAGCTCCTTACACGCTCCTTGGTGTGTGTATATGTCCTGCCTCGCCCAGGTACATATAATAGCATATTCAATGATGAGATTCCAGCAAACATTTTTATGTAGCTTGGTTGCTCTCAGAGAAATGTGAAGATGTGAAATTCAGAGAATACCATGTCTGTAGCAACTTGAAGAGGAATCGCAGACACTTTTATTGCTAGGCATCACCTGTTGGGTGCGTTATACTAGGAAGGAGGGGCTGTAAGGCTTTCTCTGGGCTCAGTGAGAAAATAACCTACCGTCTCGGTAGGTTATTGATATCTACCCAGATAAGGGAGCGGGCAGTGGTGGCGCCCATGCTTCTGTTTGCCAGCCCTTCCTGAGGACCCCTGGGGCTGACTGGCTGCAGTGCAGGGCCTTGGGTCTGCAGACCCGCAGGGCTGATGGCCTGAGGGCTGGGGCTGCAGGATGGCACCTCAGCTTCCAGTGGTGGAGAAGGGAGCCTGCAGGAAGTCACGGTCAGCCTGGGGCAGAGCTGGGTAACCAGGGCAGGTGATCTACACTGTCCAGTGAAGCGGAAGGGGCAGGTTACTCCGTGGCCACTGACAGGGGCATGCGAGAAGCACTTGAAGAGGGGGCAGAGGAGCAGACCCCACGGGAAAGCTGGGGGATGAGAACCAAGGAAGTTGATTCTTTGGCCCAATTTGTAAAGTTGCCTCTATTGATGAAATAATTTAAATGACGGGGTGATTTATAAGCTCTCTCCTGAGTGAGGAAGCAGCAGCTTGAGTGGACATTTTGAGGCCATCGCAATATGGGAACTTCCAAAATGGGACTGTATTTTCATAATGTGGAGGCAGAGGGACAAGCTGCATAAATATTAACCAGGCCCTGTGACCCACAAGGAGTGAGGTTGAGCTGCAGCTGTGGGTGTGGCCCTGGCTAGCCCAACTTCTGGAAAGGGTTTAGAGCAGTCATTGAGTAAAATGAAGCAGACGCCCCCTTTTCTCAGCTGCCTTAACAATGTCCGGAAGACAGGCTAGGAGTGAACGGCTTTGAATAGTTGACCCCTCCAACTGTACCTGCGAATAAATCCAAGTCTTTTCTACTCTCCCGTTTTCTTTCATGCATTGATTTTTTTTTCAATCATTCATTCAACAAATATGGTTTGGACGTGTACTGTGTGCCAGGGACACTGATGGAAAGTTGAAGGGGCAGTTTCTTTACCTGGCCAGGTGTTCAGGAACATCAAGCTATTTTCATTGCTGTCCAAGTACATCAACATAGGAAGGAAATACACACATGCACACACACACACACACACACACACACACACACACACGCACACACGCACACATACACCCACAGCCTGTTTTCCTGGCAATGGTTATTTTAGAAAAGCAAATAGGCTTTCCAGAATTAAAATTAACATTTCCTTGCAGGAAAAACAAATGAACAAAAAAATGTAAGCAAAGTTTTTGCCTTCGTCCGTAGATGAAGTCATCACCTCATTCCACTTTAGCAGTCTGAGGAGTCCAGGAAGGCGGTAAAAACTCATCAACTGGAGAAGAGCCAGAGACGGGCAAAATTTTCCCATTTTTAAAAGCACATGTTTAATCAAAGCATAAAATACAGAAAGAAGTGCGCAAACCTTAAGTGAACTGCAATGAATTTCCACAAAGTGCACGCTCCTGGGTAAACAGCACGCAGACCAAGAAATAGAGCTTGACCAGCCCCCTAACAGATGCCCTGTCTCAGTCACTGCCTGTCCCACGCACCCTTCAATTTGGAGATGTCAGGGCTGAGGGCAAGTCATTCACAGACCTGTAATTCTGGCCCTAGTTGATTTTATTAGTCATTAAATGGGTCCCTCTCAGACAGTGCAACAGTGGGTTCCAGCAATGGGCCTCCAGCCTCCACAGAAGGAGGCCATTGAAAGCAGCCGGTGAAGCCAATGTCCACACAACCCCACTTTCTGGGTTTCCCTGATCTCCTGCAGTGGAGTCTCCCCCTTTCTGTGCCCTGGCCAGATCTGACCCAGCCTTTCTGGAGCTGGCCAAGGACTCCTCCAGGAAGCCTTCCAGGACCTGCACACGGAATGGTTTCCTCCTGTCAGCTTCTCTTGGCAGCGAGAGCAAGAACGTGTGCTGGCGTGGGTGTGCAAACCCACCACAACCGTCCCCCATACACCAGGCAAGGGGAGCCACCCCTGGCGCCGGAGCCTGCTGGTGTCGGGAGAAACTCTATGGTGCTAAGTGCCAGGGTGGGCAGAGGCCCTTGTCTCTTGTGATTAATGAATGGCATTTGCAGATGTGGCCACAGAGCCAATGAAACTGGGCACCCTGGCGTGACAACCCTGATCTCTTTTCCAGAACCTTCATTTTGAAATATCCTGTGAGTCATGGCCATGAAGATCGTTAAATTGTTCTCTCTCTCTGAATCGCTCCACCAGCCCTGTGCAGGGAGCTTGATATATTTAGGGACAGCAGGATTTCTCATCACCTACCTTCCGTGTTTCTTCACCTTACTCGTTTCTTCTCTGGCTCTGACCAGCACTGCCTCAGCCCCCCTTTAGCTTGGCTCCCTGGAAAATGAATCTTTCTTTTTCAAGGTCCCTAAATATTGATTCCTATTCCTCCCTAACGTGGCACTTTCCTCATGTGGCTTTTTGACCTTCCACCCACAGTGGGCAGCCCCAGAACAATGAGTGGGGACATGGAGGGAGCACATGTGTCTGGATGCGGGAGCCCCTTCTGAAGGGCAGCTCAGTTATCATTAGAATGCTAGGCCCAGTTCTGCCTTTGGGCAAAGGTTAGGAGGGTCTTCGTCTTTGTAGCCAGGATGACATCGAAGCCTCAAGAATGTCTGATAGGACTTGGCCCAACAAAGGAGCAGGGCAAAAGCAGATAGCACCCTAGGCGCATGGGGAAATCAGCACGAAATAGCCTGGTCTGTGTGCACATGTGCGTGTGCATGCATGTGTGCATGCACCAGGGCTGGAACTGCTGGCGTTCCTAGACGATATATTGTGGGCGAGCGGAGGGATGGGATGGTAGGACTGATTAGCCACTCAGCATATTGCAAGCTGACCTAGTGCCAGGCACTGTAAGAGGTGCTGAGAATACAAGAGTAAACAAAACAGACACAAAACCCCATCTTTGTGGAGTTTACACTCTAGGCAGCAGAGATACACAGTACATTAAATAAATGTATTAGAAGATGGCAGCCCAGGGTCTGAGTGCAACTCTGCCATTTATTGGCTGTAACTTTGGGTGAGAAGCTAGCCTTCCTGCATGGAGGTTAACAACACCTGCTTATCAGGACCGATATAGGTTTGCTCTGGCCCAAAGAGAAGGCTGAGCACAGCTCTTGGTGGGAGGCACCGAATGGTGGTGACCATTTTCTGGTTCTTCTACACTCAGTTACGTTTTCTGAAAAGCCACGTTCCTTCTGCATCGTGAGTTATAGCCCCAAAGTGTATATATTTTTTTGAATGTCACCTTAAAATTTAATTTATTATTTCAGATATTTTCACATAAAGTAATTTTTTTAACCCTAACTAGTTTTTAACTCTAATTCTTTTTTATTATGGTAAAATATCCATAACATAAAATTTGCCTTTCTAACCATTTGTTAGTGTACAGATCAATGGCATTAAGTACATTCACACTGTTGTGCAAACATCACTACCATCCATTTCCGGAGCTTTTTCATCCTCCTAAATTGAAACTCTACACCCCTTAAACAATAACTCCCCATTACCCCCAACCCCCGCCCCATCCCCTGACAGCCACCATTTTACTTTCTGTCTCTATGAATTTACGCTAGGTACTTTAGATAAGTTAAATTATACAGTATTTGTCCTTTTGTGGTTGGTTTATTTTACTTAGCGTGAAGTCCTCAAGTATCAGAATGCCAAAGTATATATGGACAGATTGTATAGCATGTATCAGAATTCCAAAGTGTATACCAACAGTCCCTGACTTGTGACGGTCTGACTTACGATTTTTCAATATGATAGGGTGACAGTGATATACATTCAGTAAAAACTTTACTTTTAATTTGAATCTTTTCCCGGGCTAATGATACTCAGTACGATACTCTCTTAGCAGCAGTGAGATGATTTTGCCCAACTTTATGCTAACGTGGGTGTTCTGAGCACATTTAGGTTCAGCTGGGTGAAGCTGTGATGTTCGGTAGGTTAGGTGTATTACATGCATTTTTAACTTATGATACTTTTGACTTACGATGGGTTTAACCACATCATAAGTCAAGGAGCATCTGTATTTTAAGGCTAAAATTGGAAGTGCTGGTGCTAATGAGACTCGGAGCCTGAGATTGTCCAGAAAGGGTAAATGACTCCAACAGATGACAGGATGGAGGAAGTGTAAAGGTTGTGGCTAAGAGAAGCTCTAAAATTACAACCTATGCCAGTCAGAGGAGACTTGCCCCGGGCACTGCCTGTTCAGATCTGTCCTGTTAGAAGGGATTTGTCCCCAGGGACTTGAGAGCAGGACCAGAGCCAACCTGGGTGTGTCCCTTAATATCAAGGATCTGTGAGCTGTCCTCCCTGAAGGGGTCACGCCCCAAGGGTTTCTTGATGAACTTTAGGAGGCAGAGACCCTGGCCTGAAGTCTGTCCCAGAAAAGTCAGTGCTAAACCTAAAGAGGTTTTTGCACAGACGGAACTCAGGGACAGGGACAGCTGTGCCAGCCTTTGATGCCACCAATAATAGCCATGTGGAGAGGTCCCCCGACTTAGCAGCCAGCCTCCTCCCACTTCATGTGACATCGGGCGAATGCACGCATCGTTTATGTAGCAGATGTCTGCACACCAGACAGTTGAGAGGAGCCAGGTTAGATGGCCAGCGCTCTGGGCTGGATTCGGGAGGCCTAGGTAGGGTCCTGGTTCTATCACAGTCGACCTCGCTGGGCTCTGGGGCCGGGGTTACACCACTTGGTTCAAGGGTTTGGATCATACCCCTCAGATGCTCTGAGATTTTAGAAAATCAGCAGTGGAGGCCGCCATTTTCTTCCTTGAAGGTGGTCCATGGCTTGGACTATTCAGAAGATGGCAATGGTAATGAGTGCGGCCAAGATCAATTCCATGCACTTGACCAGCTTGAGTCTGGGTTGCTTTTCCTGGCATGAGAGGACAGTGGCAGCAATCAGGAGGTATTGAGGAGGCACTGGGTACCAGCAGTTGTGCCAAGCACCTCGCACGCACTGTCACCTTACTCCTCCCATCTTCTCGGGGAGGCACATGTGGCTGTTGTCCCCCATTGACAGAGAAGGTTGAAGCCCAGGGAGGCTTGGTCCCGTGACTGACAGCCAGCTGTCCCGGGACTGGAACCTGGTCTGTAGCTCGGGGACCTGAAGCATGGTTGGGTGATAGATGAACTGACCTGTGACCCCTCCAAGTCAGCCACCACCAATGCCCCTTCCTGTGGCCCAAAGGGGTCATGAAGTCCAATCACCTGTCTCAACACAGCTCTTTCTGAGTCTGTTGGTAGAGAAGGCCTGTCTGGCGAGGTCCTTGCTGATGGTCTGTTGGGTCTGAGTCCCTCCTGCAGGAGAATCAGGGGCCATGGTTCCCTCTTACTCGCACAGCAGCCTCCCCACAAAGCTGCAGAGTTGGCGCCTGGGGACTTCTGGGTTAGAGGGGAAGCGCTGTCCTCTAGACTGTCCTTTCCCTCCTGGGCTGAGACCGTATTTCAGCGGCAGCTCCAGCCAGCACCCGCTTCTCAGGGGCGGCGCTGCACTGTGGACGCCCTTGCTAAGGCTACGGGCTCATTTCCCAGAGCACTCACCTAGGCTGGGGGACTGTGCCAGCTCGGCCCCTTCTCGACTCAGCCCAGCCTTGGTGCCACCTAACTTGTTCCTCCGTTAAATGGTGGCAGACAGGCAGGGGAAGAGGTGCCCCCCAGGTCAGGGAAAAGAGGCAAACGAGTGTTATTTGTCCAGCTAAGAAATCCTTGTTCTCAGGACGCGGGCGCAGCCCACACTAGCCCAGCTCCACCTGCCCTGCAAAACGGAGAGCTGGTTCCGGAATCAATAAGCCCGCACTCCTGAAAAGATCGCCTTCCTTTATTCATGCATGACCTGTCCACTCCCAGAGACATAAATAATCATTGAATTGAATCAGTTCATTCATCTTTGCGCCTCTGTCCCCCCACACAGAGCCTCAGCACCCCTAAACCTATCTCTGAGGACCACTGACATGAAAAGGCGCTGAACAGGCCCAGGAATTCCCAGATCTTATGAAAACAAACGGTCCCTGGGGCAGGTTGGCAGGCATCCCCGGCAGAGGCGGGACGTGGGGCCAATGGTGCGTTTAGTCTGGCTGGGACAGGGTGTGATTTGGACATCATTCTTGATTCATGGAAAAATAATCTAACAGTGCCCTTGGCTGGTCTCCTACATGATCTGCCTTGAGGGAATGACTTTGTATTTCCAAAGGGACTTGGAAAAATTATGCCCCGCCTTCCCCATATGTGAAAAGTGACCATTTTATGAAGCAAGTTGTTTCACAGCCAGAGCGGTGGATGTGTGTCTGCGTGTACGTGTCTTCTCGAGGGGATGCTGGTCTTCTCGGCCCAGCCCTGACCTTTAGCCATGCGTGGAAATTAACTGTCGCAGAACCGATCATGAAACGAGCTGCTAAAGCCAGTTACCCACTCATCTGACCTTTTTTCCTTTTGAATTCTACCAGAAAGCTTTTTTTGAAGTGGCCACTTATTCATAGGGCGGCATGTATAGAGAAGGCATCAGAAATCCCGGGTTCAAGTCCTGGCTAAGCCTTTGTTTTCCTGTCAGTAAAGTGGAGCCCATGATACTTGCCCTCCCTGTCTGTCCCAGGGAAGTTTGTGAGATGCAAGTGAGACAATGTATCTTGAAGTCCTCTATAAAGTAATGTATATTCCCATCAGTCATTTAATATGTATTTGTCAGGCACCTACTATGTGCAACACTCAGCAGTACACAGTGAGGGGAATAAAATCATTTGTCTCAGTCCCCAGGGTCCGCCCTCACAAAGGTTATCTCAGCCACTTCCAGCCTCCATACGCCTCACCCATCCAGAGAGAATCAGGCAGCATCTACCCCTGGCTGGTGAAACCACTAGTCTCTTTGACATTAGTCCTAGCTCATTCTAGAAAGGAGTTTTCTGAAAGTCTTTTATTCCTCTTTGTGCCTCTGCTAAGCTTCCCCAGGAAGTGTTCCTTTCTGGACCAAAATGTAGGACATGGCTTGATGTCACTTTTCCTTTGCCTGCGTCTACACGCCATCACCGAAGGTAAGCCCCAGCCTGTGTAAGTGCGTCCGTGGGAAGGCTATTGGGGTCCCACCCCACCGGATGTTTCCAAAGGAATCAGCCGAGATCTGATGTTGTCACTTTTAAGCTGTGTGCCATTGGGAAAGTCACTGCCTAGTCTCAGTTTATTTGTCTGTAAAAATGGGTATAAACAGAGCTTCCATGAAATATGATGATGTCTGGGTGGGGCTTGTTCATTAAGAAGGAGTACACAGCTGCTAAAGGCTGCGCTGTTGCCATCTTACCCTGTGCTCTGCCTCTCGGAGCAGCATTCCCTTAGGCCGCCTGTTTGGCGATTTGGGAGAAAACTCTGGGGCTGTGCCCCAGACTTGAGCTCCTCCCACCTCATGCTCTGGGCCCAGGGGAGGGCAGCTGTGACCTGAAAAGAAGAGGGAAATACTGGGGAGTGTGTTTTGGGTAGCCCCGCAGGCCACCCAGGGAGACCTTTGTGTCTAAAAGGACGTTTGAGAACTTTTTCAAAACCATTTCCAGTTATCCAGATAAAAGGAGTAGCTCTAAAACCCAAGGATGGGTGATGGAGCCCGGGGAGTCTGGTCCAAGTTGCTCCTAGACACTCTAAGGACACTGATTATTGGACCTCAACCCCCTCCCCTCCTCGGGTAGAATTGTGGTGGGGGGGGGGGTGTTGTGTCCTATAACGTCCCATTTGGGTTCCACACACCTTATAATTCTCAGGACCCTGGGAAGGCCCTACAACCCTCCGCTTCTGACTTCTTCCTTTTTCTCTCTGTAAATGAGACATTTGCAATTCTCTTCTGAATAAATCCATAAAAATATTCCCTTTGTGTTTCTTCCAAGGCAAGGACCTGGAGGACTTAATGCACATGAACATCTTCCCCGAGTCCAGGCTGGTCCAGGTTACAGCCAACCATTACCTCGCAGTGAGTTGCCAGCTCAGCAAGGAAATAATTATCAAAATGTATTGCCTTTCTGGCTTTGCTTTTTCTGGAGATGTGTTTTGCATTTGAAACCTCTGGGGCCTTTGAGGTTGGCATAGCTGGATCCTGGGCCAGGGGAAGTGGGGGGGGGGCAAGCCTGGGGAGGGGAGGAGGGAGGCGGCCCAGAGCAGCGCTCCTGTTGACCTGTAGAGTTAGGTGGGGCGGGGGACCACCAGCCACACCACCTCCAAACCAACACACACAGACAAAAATGTCACATGTATACTTATTATTGAAAATTTTTCAAAATGCAGAGAAATTGAAAGAAAAATCATATCCTCAGATCCATCACCCAAAGACAACCACTGCTAACATTTGATTGCATTTTATTGCCTTTCACTCTTTTAATACACTTAATGAAATGAGATTCCTAATACCATTTTTAAGGGCTGCACACTCTTCCACCAAAATGATATCCTGTAACCAACATTGCTTTGCCATTCCTTTATTGTAGAAAATTTACAGTGGTTCTGATTTACCATTATAAATGACAATGGTCAACTAAACATATTTGCGCGTAATGGTCTGTTTTGCTATACTTGGAATCATTTTCTTATAGGAGATTCTCAAGAGCAGAAAATACTGGCCCAAAAAGGAATGTGTATTTTTCTTTCTGATTTATATGGACAAGTTTGGGACCAAATTACTCTCCCCCAGTAATAATGAACGTGTCTCGCTGTAGACACGTTTAGCAACTCAGGGCATTTTTAGTTCAGGTCGCTTCTGTTCATTGAGACGCGAACAATGGCTCTCATGTCTTAATATGCATTGCCTTTATTACTGGTAAATAGGGATATTTTTCCATGTGGTAGTTCCCCTTTTGTGAACGGTCAGTGCAAACTGTTGTACTTCTTATGTGTTCCCAGTGTTGCGTTTTTAGAGATGAAGTAGAGCAGTGTTTGAGTTCTGAAGATTTATGAGTCACTAGTTAAAATTCAATTCAGCTCAACAAATACCTATTGTAATGTGCAAACCGCAGTAGATAAGGACCCCATGGAACCCAGCTTCTCTAAAACATAACTCAGAGCCGCGCTCTGATAGGGCAGAGGAGGGAAGGGGTGACAGAGAGAGAGGACTGGCCAGACGCCTCAGGAAGTCCCCCACCACCCTCTTCGTATCCTTCTGACCCTGCCCACCTCCCTCTTTTTGCCCCCCTGCTGCCAATGTCATCGTCCTGAAATCTCCCTCTCTGCCCCAGTCCCCACTAGGAACCACCCATGTGGGGAACCACCCACGTGGGGCCATTCTTGCCCTTGACCTTAGGGCTGTGACGGTTCTCTGCCTCGTGATCAGGCTACTTCCTCAATGAGGCTCCTCGGGCAGTTTTCTTGTTCTCGCCTTTGCATACCCTGAAAGCAATAAGCGCGGTACCTGGCACCGAGTAGGTTTTTAATACACACTGCGGACAGGCTGAATGGCCGGATGTAGGGTTCAGAGACAGAACTGTCTTTCAGGCACAGTGGGGTTGTGAAGGTGATGTCGGGGGAGGATCAGGCTGACGGTAAGCTGTGTGTGTTTCACTTTCAGCTGGAGAGTGGGGGTGACATGGTCCACTTGACAGATCTCACCACCCAGGCGGTGAGATTCGGGCTGATCTTTGTCCAGGTACTGACCGCTGGGCCCCAGCAAGGGGACGCACCACCCGCTCCTGTCGTTGATTAAGGGGCCATTGTGGGATCACTGCATACCTCTGGTAGGAAGGCCAGGGCAGAAGAAGAAGTCATAGGCATCTCTCGTGCATGCTCACCACCCCCCAGGAAATAGGATTCTCAAGACAGGGCACTGGGACAGGCCATTCAGAAACCTGATGTGCACGTCCAATATTTCCCCAGAAGCGTGACCCATTGTCCCGGTTTTCCAGGGATGGAAGCGTTTCCCTGAGTTACAGGACTTCCCATCCTAAAACTGGGAAAGGCCTGGGCAAACTGGGGTGAGTGGGTCATCATTTTCCCTGAAAACATCGAGAGATGCCAACTCCAAGCTAGGGTTTAATGTTACAAAGGTGAACCTGTCCTGGGCGGCTATTTGATGGGCCCCAGAATCAAAGCCACAGTGGGCCAAGGAGCTCGGCTACAAGGCATCTGGGTACCTTGCAAGTCACCAGTGGAGCGTCTGGGCTACGGCTGTCTCTGTATTCTCTGTGATGGGCATAATTCTCCAAGAAATGGCTGCCCTCCTCCAACTTCTTTAAAGTAGTGATTTCAGAAGAATTCATATCTCAGGGACTTGGGGCCCTGACTCTATCATCAGAGACGCCACCCTGGGTCAGGCCTGGGTGGGCTGTGTCCAGCCCCTTGCTTGCAGAAACCTGCCCAAGTGGACAGACTGCAGACCAGAGGGGTCAGGACACCTTGCAATACTATGAGTACAGAGTGTCTGTTAGGCCCATCAAACTGGAACAAAATGCTTTGTTCCAAAGGTCTGTAGACCACAGGTCATCTAAGATCATTCCTAACTCATTCTTTTCCCCACTGAAGCACATGCAGAGTAAATAGTATCATTACTGAGTGCTTACCTGGAGCACTTGTGAAGTCACTATAATATGGCTTTTCCTAAGCTTCCTAGGCTAAAACTGTTTTCAAATCAGTTGTCAAATCAGTCACTTTTGGTGTTATAGCTAGACTTTGTTTTGCTATGTCCTCTTGCCTCTGAATGCTGACAATTTTTTTCCCTGTCACTTTGTTGTTTATCTTTCCCAATTTAGGAATATACAACTTATTCAAAAATGATTGCTGTATATGGATTCTTGTTTGAGATAAAAGGAATAAAAAATGATACTACTTCTTATCATTTCTACGTGCAGGTAAGAAAGACAGAGCACAGGAAAGGTGTATCTGTGAAACAGCCTTTTAGGTTCAGAATCTATTCATATGAAATTAATAACTGATTAATCATTAGTTAAAAACTAATATGGAATGTGTTGTAAGGCCAGCACTAATTATGTTCATAGGCGGGATGCTATTTGGTTTCTGCAACAACCTTGGGAGGTGGCTATTGTTATAACCCACGTAACAGATGAGGACCTCAGAATTACACAGTCAGTCTTCATGTTCACATGGCCTCGATTGGCAAAGACAGGGTTCTATTCTAGACTCTGACTCCATATTTGAGCCTCAATTCAACTTCAGTTCCTTTAGGATGGGTGGTGCATTACAGATGGTCCTTCTTCCATGGAGGTAACGGGTGGTGCCCACAGGGGAGAGGGGCAGTCTTATTTAGAGTGGCAACGCCAGGCAGTGGACAGGACATGAGAGAGGTTGAGGGGGAGGGGTGAATGACTCCACCTCAGTGATCCTGCTGGACTTTTAGGAGAGGCAGGAGAATGTGCGTTTAAAGAGCAGAGAGTCTGAAAGCAAGCTGCCCAGCAAACCATATGACCTCGTCAAGCCCATGAACTTCCCTGTGTTCAGTTTTCTGACCTTTATGACGGAGAAGGAAATAGGACCTACCTCACTGGCTTGTTGGGAGTATTACTGTGTTAATTTGTGCAAAAAGCTTGGAACAGGGCCTGACACATAAGGCACTCTATGATGATGATGACAACGTCAACGATGAGGGACCGCTATGTTCCACTGAGGATTTGCTTTATAAGCCTTAAGATTCAGGCTCCTTGAGAAATCCTATCTTATTAATTTTTCACTATCACTGCCAATCACAGAACCTGGAACACAGGGGAGGTGTGTTGGTATCCTAAATGGATAAATGAATAAATGCATGAGTGAAGAGACCTGAATTTTCATCCCTGCTTTGCCACTATTTCATTATGTGCCCTTGAGCAAGTCACGTCTCTTCCTTGGGTCAGTTCTTGGTCTTCAGTGACTCCAGCATTTCCCTACATAATGGATTTTACCGGATGGAGGAGATGAATTATGTAACGATACCGGTAGACATGCTCATGAAGACTATGTTTGGTTTTAAAATTCTGGCAAAGTGATAGTGAAGACTTTCCAGTTTAATAAGCTTGATTTAATAGTGTTTCTCTGAGTTGGCCAAGCCCCAGTCCATTGGCCTGTGGTTCGCATATGGTCAGGGCTCAACCGCCAACTGACTCAGCAGCAGCAGCGCTCAGGAAATGGGGCCCTGGGGAAATGCTCTCTGCACACATTATACAGGAGGGTCAGTGTGCCAGGAACCAGGTTTCACTAACTCTGGGTCACCCCGGTGTCAGTTCCACCTAAGGTGAATCACCCTCCTTGCAGAGAAAAAGGCACACGGACGTGGAATTCCCCTCCTTGCACTGTGAGGATGGTATCGTCAGCCTGAGACCAGAACGCTTGGTCAGGTACGAGATTACAGCTCAGACCCTGGTGGATGGCAAGTGGCAGGAGTTCCGGACAAACGAAATCACACAGAAGTTTCGGCTCATTAAGCCATTCTGCAAAAGCCAGGTGACTGTCTTTTTTATTTTGTTTTTGCTCTTTCTCTCCCGTACCCTTTTTTGGAGATCACTGGTTTCATCTCTCCAGTGACCGATGGGAGAAACTTGCTCAGTTGCTTAAGGATTCTCACAGTTCCAAATCATGCTAAAGAGAAACATCCTAGAACGGAAAGCTGGGGATACTGAAAAATGTAACCCAAATCAGACTGCCTGATAGAGGTCACACCAGGTCCAGGGCGTTTTTCTGGAGGAGAGAAGGGTTGGTGGAGTGTATTTGCTGCCACCACCTCCATTCTTGCCTGCACTACCTGTCACTTCTAACGAAATCAATAGCCCAGCCCACCTGCCTCTGTGGGCCATGCCAGCATCCAGGAGGATTTGGTACCTGGCCTGACTCCTGACCGTTGCCATCCAGAAATTGCCAGAGAGCCGGTCTGTAGTCCTAGGAGGAATTCTGGGTTGTGAATTCTAGGAGGTCCAGGGCCACCCATCCTGCCCCGTGAGGAATGGGACTCGGCCTTAAGCCGTAGAGTAATTATCAGACCTGGCTGCACATCAGAACTCACCTGGTCCTTTGCAAAGTGCTCAGGCCTGCATGTCACCCAGAGGAAACCAGATATTTCGTGGTGGGGCCCAGGTGTCAGTATTTTTTTAAGCTTCCCAACTTATTCTCTACGATGTTAGAAATCAGAATAGCAATTTCCTTTGTGGAGGTGGGCGTGGGGAAGGCTAGGATATTGACTGGCAGGGGAATTCTCAGGCGCCAGAAATGCTCTTTTTCATGACCAGGGTTGTGGTCACACAGGAGTGCTTACTAGTGAAAATTCATCAGGTGGTATCCTAAAGATTTGTGTACTTTATTGCATTTAACTTTGTAAAGTTTATTTTAAAGACCTTCCCTAGGTGATTCTAATGCAGGTAGAGTTGAGAACAAACACCCTACACAATTGTGAGGCCTCCCTCGTCCCCCTTCCAGGGAGCAACTATATCTATCTGAAAAGTCCCTTTTGCTTTATTTTGTTTAATCTTTTAGGTCTTGAAAATCCAAACTGTGGGCATCCGGATCTACGTAAGTTTTTCATTCATCTTTCCAGGATCTTGACCATTTCCAGAAGGATCTATGGAATATTTTCTCTTCCACCAGTCTGCATAAAAGAAAATAAAAAGGCATTAAAGGGATTACTCAAGTATTCAGCTGACTTTTCTAGTTAGCGATGGTCTTATTAAAGCTTTTGCCCACTGTCTTTGTCTGCTTGGGACTGAGCCACTGGGTAACTTATAAACAACAGAAATTTCTAACTTATAGTTCTGGAGGCTGGAAGTCCAAGACCAAGATGCTGGCAGGTTCTATGTGGTGTCTGGTGAGGGCCCACTTCTTGGTTTATAGATGGCCATCTTCTTGCTGTGTCCGCACATGATGGGACAGGCGGGGGAGCTTTCTGAGGCCTCTTGTATAAAGGCACTAATCCAATTCGTGAGGATTCTGTCCTCAAGATCTAATTACCTCCCAAAGGCCCAACTCCTAATACCAACAGCTTTGGGAGTTAGGATTCAGCATATGAATTCTGGGGGCCACAGTCAGACCAGAGCCCCCACATTTGTATCATTTGAGGATAGCACTGGAGCTCCGAGTCCATTTGCCATCCCCCAAAGCACCTGAGTCCAGCCCTAGCTTGTCACACTCTTGGGGGCTCTTTGATGGGAGCAGCAGTAACAACACCCTCCAACTGGGAGCATCAAGGGCCCCCTTTTCATATGTCTCCTCCTGCTCAGAACGACACACCTGGATATTGTCCCTGGCAGCTTGGGCTCAGCCAGAACAAGAGGTAGGAAGGGAAGGAAGAATTACAGGAATACCTTGGTTTGCGAGTATAATTTGTTCTGGAAACAAACTACTCGTGTTGCAAGACATCGCTCGTTTACCACGTTAAAACGTATTTGAAATTTTTGCTCGTCTTGCAGAACGCTCACAATCCAAGGTTTTACTGTATAAGGTTCGGAGTGACTTACCTTATTTACCATTTCATCTTTTTAAATGGAAACCTGTGGTTTGGAAAAAGTAAGGTAAGAGAGTCTTTCTTTCCACCTTGTGTAGTGTAACAAAGTGCCACAGTTCAGTGGCTTAAAAGAACACGTAGTTATTATTACATAATTGTTGTGGATCAAGTGTCCTCTGCTCCACAAGCCTACAAGCTAGTGGCAGCCAAGCTGTGTTCTCATCTGAAAACGTGACTGGGAAAACCCATGTCCCAGCTCATGAGGTTGTTGGCAGATTCATTTCCTTGCAGCTGTATGACTGAGGGCCCAGCTGCTTACTGGCTGTTGGGAGAAGGTGCCCGGGTCCTAGGGGCCCCCCACAATTCCCTGCCACATGGCTCTCTCTATAGACATTTCAAAGCATGGCTGTTTATCCTTAAGGCCAGCAGGAGAGCCTCTGTCATTCTAGTCTGCTAAGACAGAGTCTTGTAGAACATAAGGTAATCATGGGAATGACATCCCGTCACCTTGGCCATACTCTCTGGGCTAGAAGTAAGTCACATGTTCCCCCACACTCAAGGGGAGAGGAGTATACAAGGGGTCACGTTAAGGCGTGCCCACTACAGTGTGTTATCCAGTGTCACTGGAAAAGTGATGGAGGACCAATATCCTGTGCAGAGGGACCTGGGATGGAGAGAGATTGGCGGGAAGGCAAAGGAAGAATTGAAGCAAAGGAACTGGACGCTGGGCCTGTTCCAGGTGCATCCCTGCCCCCTCCTGCAAGCCCTGTGCCATCTCCCTCACTAGCCTGCTCCTGGCCAGGTCCAGCCAATGGGAGACCAGGAGAAGCGGGGAGTTCTCACCCTCTAGGCCATGAGGGCATTTTCCAGCAGTGGCTCTAGCTCACTCTGCCACTCCCAACTCCTGCCGCATAGCCTCCTGCCACAGTTCCAGTGCCCATCAGATGGGCCTGCTTCCGATGCTGCTGACACCACCTTGTCCCTGTGTCCCTCCCACCTCAGGGGCGGTGAAGACTTCCTTTAACTGCCACTCTCTGGGTTGCCTTATTCTCCCCTGTTGGTCTTCTTTGTTCTTCCTTCATCTGTGTAATCAGTTCTCTGTATTCTATGTATTCTGTTTGAAATTCCTAGAGTGGTTTCTGCTTTTCACAGTAGTCCCTGATGTAAAGGGTTTTGATGAGTTGGCAGATGTGGTCCAGTGGGGTAGATTGTTCAAACCATGGCTTCAGTAATTCCTCCCATCCTCAAAGACCCAGGATGAGGGTGAGGTAAGTGAGGCACTCACCTCGGGTCAAAATCCTCAGTAATCCAGATAAATAAGATTTTAATGCAATATTTTAAAAAATCAAAATCAGTGCAAAAAATCTAGAATGTAGCTCAATGAATTCCTATAAGCTGAACATACCTATATAACCAGTACTCAGATCAAAACCAGAAAAAACATAATCTGCACCTTAGACACTCTCTTTGTACCCCCTCTCAAAGACAAACACTATCCCAACTCCCATCACCCTTAATTAGTTTGGCCATTTGGTTTGAATATTTAATAAGCAGAAGCATACAGTGTGCACTCTTTTATGCCTGTTATTCTTTTGTTCTACATCATGTTAAGTAGATCCATCCACATTCACAGAGGGAGCTGCAGTTTATTTTCAAATAAGCAGGATAGATTCATTTTTTAAAAAATGAACTGTTACTTCTATAAAATAATACAGGCTTGTTGAAGAAAAATGAGAGAATATAAAGAAGAAAATAGGGCCAGCCGAGTAGCTCAGTTGGTTAAGAGTTTGAGCTCTGAGCAACAGCAGTTCGATTCCCGTCCCGAGCTGAGCAGCCGCTGAGCTGCCAACAGGTGGCAGGATGGCTCAGCTAAAAAAAAAAAAAAGAAGAAGAAAATAAAATCCACTGGGACTCCCATTACTCAGAAGTTTTGCAGGCGACCCTTCAGAATCATCTTTAGGTGCCCTTAGAGTTTTCTTCCCATTCAAAATGAGACTATGCAATGCATGCTTCCTCAGAACCTCACTTTTTCCCCCCTTTTCTCAAGAGTTAAATAGGATGGTTTCTGTAATAGAGGAGCATGCGATTTGGGGAAGAAGGTGTTAACATATTTGCCTCACCTCCAAACTGACAAACTGCACAAAATCAGAAAAGTCACTTGTTGCTTACTCTCTGTGAATGTTGCTTCCTTGTCCATAAAAGGCATAAACGGCCTGCAGCCTCCCTCTCAGGGCTGTGAGCACCGCAGGCCCCAGGCCTCAGGCCCCACTGCGAGGGACAGCCCCGGGATGGACCAGCCCCTGTGCAGACACGCGGAGGGGCTTGATGTCACTGGCTCTAGAGAAAGAGTGGCCTCGTGGCATTTTACCACAGTCATATAGAATGACAGGGAAGATAAGACCTGAAAACTTCTGAAAAACAAGTCTGAACATGTCTAGGAGAAATGAGGAGGCTGTTTGCAGGCACTGCTGAAACATGAATGATTGCCCGCTTTCTAAGCCAAACAACTGGCTGAGCTTAGCTATTTGGAATATGTGCCTGGAGTTTGCAAGAGTGAGAGAAACTTACAAAGCAGCAATGGGACCGTAAAACTTTCAGGGTCCAAAAGCTCACAAACTGGGGGTGTGGGAGGAAGGCCAGCACAAAAAGGATGGGGTGAAGGCCTGAAGGATCGGGCTGCAACCTCTGCCGCCAGAACCGGCAACGGGAAGGCACAAGAGGCAGAAGGACTTGGGGTGTCAGGGAGAGGGGCCCTTTGATATCATTTCCACCTCCTCCTTGTACAGTGGGGAAAACTGAGGCCCAGAGAGCTGGAGTGACAGTCCTGCTTGGAAGATGTTTCCTAAACACCTCTGACCCATTAGGCACTTGACACGCACCCTATCACTGAATTCTTCCAACCCACCATGAGGTAGGTAGGTGTATTTTCCACGCCTGGTAAGAATGCAAGTTGAGGGCCGGCCGAGTGGCGCGATGGTTAAGAACTCGCTTGGGATGCCAGAGGGCCCCGGTTCGGATCCCACATATGAGGGCCAGTGACACTGCCCTCCACAGCTAAGATGCTGAACAACAGCTCAACCTGGAGCTGGGCTGCCATGAGTCGCCGGCGACGGCGTGGGCTGCAGTCCCTGTGGCAGTGGATTGCCATGGGCTACCGTGTGTGGCCAGCAGCCAGCGTGAGCGGCCAGCAGCCGCAGTGAGCGGCTGTCCAGAAGCCGGCGACTGATCTGCCTCGCCAGAGAAGAGCGCAATGATGGTGCCAACTTGGGCCAGTGAAGCAATGTCCTCCACAACTAGATTGAAGAACAAAACGACAGCAACTTGTCTGTTCCCCTTTCCCCAATTCCCCAGCACTGTTCCCATCCCCCCAATTCCCCAATAAAAATCTTTAAAAAAAAAAAAAAAAAAAGAATGCAAGTTGAGCCCCAGAGAGTAAGGACCATATGCGTCCAAGGTTCCTCAAAATTGCAGAGCTGGGGGGCCGGCCGAGTGGCTCAGTTGGTTAAGAGCTCGCTCAAGAGTTTGAGCTCTGAGCAACAGGGTCCCCGGTTTGATTCACGGCCCGAGCTGAGCTGCCGCTGAGCTGCTAACAGGTAGCAGGATGGCTCAGCTAAAAAAAAAATTGCAGAGCTGGGCTGGGTAGAGGGGCATGGAGGGCACAACTGAGGCCTGCCCGCAGGGCACAGGCGTTTCCATTTCCCTCCATGGCCCACGAGAAGAGGGGAAATGTTTTAGGGTGCTTCATTCAAGTATGTATTAAACACCTACTGCACTCTCCACAGAACTGTACACCGGGCATCTGGAAGGCACTGGGCCGTACTGCACAGGGGCCGTCACGTGTGAAATCTCATTTGATTCCAGTGGGGACGTTGGGATGGGAGGAGGGTGGTCTCGCTGAGGAGGTGACACACACATGGGCCTTGGAGGATGGGCAGTCTCCTTATAGGTGGAGGACTGGTGGAAAATGGTACACAGGTGAAGTTCAAACAGCTGAGAGCAGGCTAATGTCCAGCCCCAGGCTCTTGTACTGTGTTCCCCAGCATCATGCGGGGGAGCTGGTGCAAAGGCAGGTGCCGGGGCCCAGCAGCGAGAGGCTGACTTGCAGTCTGGGAGACACCCAGGAAATCAGAGGCGGGAGGCCTGCCATCATACCCAGAAAGGACTCCAATCTGAAAACGTTAATTCCACAACAAGGTTCCCCACCTCACCCACACACCCAAAAACCTTGTGACTCTATTTCACCACACTAGCTGACTGTATTTTTAAAACTCAATTTCCTGAAATATGAAATAAACAGAACCTTATGGAGGGGGC